TATTACTTAAAAGAATTGCAAAAACCCCAGGTTCATGTTGCTTTATTTATACTTAATGATCTTGGAGAAAATGTCGTCTGAACTTGTGTTGTTGTTGTTGTTATGTATTTGATAGCATTATTGTACGAATAAAGTTTTTCGACTATCGGAAATTTGCTCAAACTGTTGAAATACTTGCTCAGTGAATTTAATTTTTGCACACATCTTGTCCTTCCTTAGAGGGAACATTGCCGTGTAATTGACCTTAGTTGTGTTAAAGATGTTTAAAACTTCGAAAATGTGCATTGGTGTGTCGATGTGTGTGTATCTTTGTGTAGGTGTGTGTGGGTGTGTTAGTGTGTGTGCGTTTCTTACATGTGTGTGTGTAGATGTGTGTGTGCGTGTCGGGGTGTGCGGGTTTTCTTTCATGTTTAATCAATTTCATGACACTTTTATTTAATTTCATATCAATTAAAATGCTTTCTTTTTGTCTATTTCACTTTTTTTAAATGTTGTTGTCGTTACTATATTGTTGTTTTGTTTCTGTGCATTCATTTTTTTCCTATAATGTCTTCACTAACGTCCCATAATTTGAGCAACTGAAAAGTTGCATTGGCCTGAGCTTGTCCCGTGCTTGATGCAATTTTAACAATTCCTAAGATTTTCTCCACATTACAGCCAGCCACAACAACAGCCAGTCTATCAGTTCTAGAGTGTGGATCATCATTCATGATCTTCCCATCCCAGTGAACCAGAAGGGGGTTTCTGTCACGATCCTGAAATTGTTGACGAATACTGCTGTCAATGGTTGATCGATGTTGCTGTCGTTTACGATGAACTGTGGAATGTGACAGAGATGTATCCCTGATGTCTTGCCCACTAGCTTGTGCAATGGCTGCTGCTAATACTGTGAACTTTCTATCTGACAGGCTTTCTTACGGTTATTATTATTATTTATTATTATTATTATTATCAATGGAATTTTTGTATCAGTTGTATTGTAACATAAAAATAGTTTATACACTCTCTTATCATCTAACATCATCTTTGTTACAGATGATGTTAGATGATAAGACATGACATAATGTCTTTGTTACATCATCTCATTACATCAACGATCATTTTTACTCGCAGTTACCTGAGCAAGCACCATCATCATAATCACTGTCTTGAATTTCTTCATCATTGTAATCGTCATCTCTTACCTTCACCATTATCATCGTTATCATTAATCTCCCAATCATTTTTGTCTGATCCTTCAACATCAGCATCATCATCTTCTTGTCTATCGTCTTCGCTATCGCTATCAACGTTATCATCATCTCTCTCTCTCTCTCTCTCACTCACTCTTTCTATCTATATATATATATATATATATATATATATATATATATTTAGGAACGAGGTTTTCAGAAATGCAAATTTCATTGAAATTGTTTGCCCATTTTGCATTAATTATGTGTGTGCGTTTGTGTGTGTAGTGTATCAAACAATCACCCACACACACACACACACACACACACACACACACACACACACACACACACAGATACGCCACTAGATGTTGCAAATAATATTCCTGAATGTTGCCAGTGTTGCTCTGTGTGTGTGTGTGCTTGTGTGTGAAAATACTTAAAAAAAAAATTTAACACAACTATCTTAAACATCGACGCATGAAAATTCTACACAGACTACAGACACATTACACATTAACAATCCATATATATACATATAAATGAATGAAAGAATGACTGAGAATTAATGAATGTATAGTGGTTCTTCAATCATTCTGTATGAAATGTGCTTACCAAACTTTTATTGCTTTTATCAGCAATAGATAATGACTGAAAATTAATGAATGTTTGGATTAATAGATTAATGTATGATTGGATTATTAAATGAGAGGTACTAATTAAATGTACTAATTAAATCATATGTCTGACATATTGATTGAAAAAATAATTAAATTACATTAATCGCTTGATGACTGCAAAGGATAATAAAATGAATTCATTATATATCGACCCCTTCCTACCACTCCTTCAACCTCAAACTCCAATGCTCGCCTAATCCTGACTCTTTCATCCCTTCTCAACACATGGCCGTTGGATTCATTGAATCGATTGTTCATGCTACGTGGCCGGCCACGTAGCATGAACAATCGTATAATTTCAAATATTTTGTTTACTAATTTCAATGAACCTTTGCGTTTTTATTTCGTTACTTTTATTTTATTTTAATATATTAAAAAATACAACTAATTAACTATTAATAGAATTTATTTAAAATATATATTGCACTGATGATGACTTTACGTCGAAATAGATCTATATGCATAACTTTAATAATAATATAAAAAATAAACGATTATAAAAATGGGATCTTGCTTGATTAATTTTAACAATTAAAATCATAAACGATTATAAAATGGATTTCAACATTTTGAATATACTTAATTGTAAAGAACTAGTTCAAAATATTAGAAAATCAACCATAAAACTTGTTAATGCTGAATCGTCGGTGGATTTTTTGAACAACTGTATAGAACTTGGTCTTCTTCCTAATATATATATATATATATATATATATATATATATATATATATATATATATATATATATATACAAACAAAATTAATCAAAAACAAAACGTTTTTGTATTTCGTTGTGACGATTGCTTAATTATTTTTGGTACAAATAGAAGTTAACAATAATAACTACAATAATAATAATATTAATAATAATGATAAAATAATAATAAGTATTAAGATTAATTATTAATTTTGTGACTGAAGTTTCTGTTGGTCGAAGACTGCAAACCTAAGCTAAACTATATAGTATACACACACATACTGTGATAGATAGCGTCAATTAATTATTTGCTGATGACGTCAAGAATTGAAATATATCATGTGATGAAAATTTGGCATCAAACATCATCAAACATACTGTTAGCAATTCTTATAACTTCAATATAACGCTCACTTAACATTGAGCGCCACTCTTAACATGGCGCAAGTTGAAAGTAAAAATAATTCTTTCAAAATTCGTTTTCTCGGTAACTATAAATGCTACAATAATAAATTTGGTATTATTTTAATCAGCAAATTTTGCTTTATAGGAAAAAGTAGTTTATATACAAAAAAAAAATTTGAAAAATCGTGCGACCTGCTAATAATAATATAAATAAAAATTATTACAATTAATTAAGCAAGTTAATCTTTAATGTAAAATAAAATGAATTTATTATAATTATATAAATTAAAATAAATAAATATATTAATATTTTATTCAGAAAAAAAAATAATAACCTGTATATTAACAATCAGTTAATCATCTTTCGCAGAGCAGATTTCTAAAACTAGTATGTGGTACTGGATGTTCTTAAATTATGTGCTTATATATCTCCGCTCTCTCTCTCTCTATATATATATATATATATATATATCCGTCAAGTGCATTTGATAATTCTTTGATAATCGACCTGGCAATTAAGTGTTGAAGTATGAGATTCACTTCATTTGAGATGAGAGTTTGAGATGCAAGTTGATGAGATGAACAATGAATCATGAACAATCATCATCAGAGCCATCTACACGTCATTATCACTCTGTCAAGCTCAATCCGGACGACCAGGCTAAATATAGGAATGACATAAAGAGAACAGGTGATGATGATGGTGACGACGACGATGATGATAAACAAGTGTATATACAAAAATATACAAAAACATACAAAGACATAAAAACAAATACGAACAAATACAAAAACATACAAAGACATAAAAACAAATACGAACAGATACAAAAACATACAAACGTATACAAAAAATACATACAGAGGTATGCATAAATAGAAGAGAGAGAGAGAGAGAAAGGGAGAGACAGAGAGAGAGAAAGCTTGAGACAGCTTCTCTTGGGTTCAATTAATGTATCTGATAAGTACTTAGGAAATAATTTAGATTGAGACTTATACATGAACGTGCAAATTTTAAAAATTATTCTTTTATTCTATATGGTCTGATTCGATGTGTCTTAAACTTAATCCTTCTAAGTTTGAATTAAACAACAGAACATACAATGTGTCCGCATTCATAGTTAGTCCAGTGTCAATTGGCTTGGTTTTAGATAATCTTTATCTTATGGTGGTACTTCAATCATTCTATTGTATGAACTTTGTATAAATGAATGAATAAATGAATGAATAAATGAATGAATAAATGAATGAGAATTAATGAATGTATGGATTAATAGATTAATGTATGATTGGATTATTAAATGAGAGGTACTAATTAAATCATATGTCTGACATATTGATTGAAAAAATAATTAAATTACATTAATCGCTTGATGACTGCAAAGGATAATAAAATGAATTCATTATATATCGACCCCTTCCTACCACTCCTTCAACCTCAAACTCCAATGCTCGCCTAATCCCGACTCTTTCATCCCTTCTCAACACATGTCCGTACCACCGCAATCTTCCTCGGTACTCGACCAGCCTTTTCTAGATCCACAAAACACATGTACAATCTTCGTTTCTTCTTTCTATAATTCTCCCGCAACATTCTCACTATGAACAACTATGAACCCTAACCCTAACCCTTACCAGGCATAAACCCACACTGCATTTCATTAACTGTCACCATATTTCTCAACCTCCTCTGAAGCACCCTCTTAACTACCTTCATTCCATGCTCTAGCAATTTCACACCCCTATATGACCCACAATCTCTCACTTTTCCTTCGCCCAATCCTCAGGTATACTTTCATCATCAAACATACTGTTAGCAATTCTTATCATAACTTCAATTAATAATATAAATAAAAATTATTACAAACACACACACACGCGCACCATTGTTATTATTATTACACTATTATTATTACAATATTATCATTGTTAGATAAATTTTCGGACCAAAAGATTAAGGTTGCCGTTAATAAATGAAAAGAAATATAAACAAAAATGAAAAATTTCAAAATCAAACTGAAATCAAACAAAAAAAGCCCAACCTACCGAGCCAATTCCGCAGAGCACCCTAACGAAAATCAGCAGCCCGATGTGGATGTGCGCGGCCACTGGGGTCAGGAGCGTGGCAAAAGTGGAAAGGCCCAGCGATCCCACCAACACCCATTTGCCGCCAAACTGTTCCGCCATTAGCCCGCCAGGAATTTGAGACACAAGGTACCCGTAGAAAAATGAACTGAGTATGTGGCCTTGCACGCTTTTTTCCCATACAAACGGGCCATCCTTTGGTGTGTGTGTGTGTGAATGTGTGTGTGTGAATGTGTGTTTAAAATTATGTGTGTGTGTGTGTGTGTGTGTGTGTGTGTGTGTGTGTGTGTGTGTGTGTGTGTGTGTGTGTGATATTTGTGTATGCTTATATATACATATATAAATTTGTGTATATTCATATCACAAAAAATGGCAAAATATTAATATTTCGTTCAGTTTTGAATTTAAGTTTTGAGTTTTCATGTTGTTTGTTGTTTGTTATTTATTATGTTGTCGTATGTTTTTGTATGTTTTTATGATAAACTAAACGTGAGAATTTCAATCATTGTAATTATGATGAAAAGTTTAAAACATCAACATCAACAAAAACACAACATCCAAAACCAACCAAAACGGCTTTCGTCTCATTAGTCTGGTTGACCATGCCTACAATCGCCTCAGACATTCCGATCCTATGGGCACACAGGTTGAAAAACATGAAGCACACAACAAACGCGAGAATTGAGCAGCACCGCTGGGAATTTTGGACTGCATCTGGTTTTAATAATTATAATTATTACACTTAATATAATTGAAATAATTATAATTATTATTATGATATAATTATAATTATTATTATGATATAGTAGTTTATTTTTATTACACCAACTCCTCCCGTACCATCATCCCCTTTCCACCACAACTTATATCTTCCACCTTTAGCCCCAACAAACCTTGTACCTTCACCCTTCCATCTGATTTCCTGTAATTCTCCTCTGCAGCTGTATATAAATTTCCATAATAATAATAATAATAATAATAATAAAAGTATGTTGATGATGTTGATAATCTATATGGGCCTAAGGCATATGATTATCTTCAGACAAATGGTCTACATCTTCCTCACACTAGGACATTAAGAAAGTAATCTTGTCATACCTGTTCAATAATTTTAATAAGATTGTTTTATATAACTATTCTCAATGTCATTTTATTAGCACTACATTAAAAGGTGGCTACAAAACATTGATGGTACGCCTGGTGTGATTTCTACAAACCTTATTGACCAATGGTGATGGGGATCCTCTGGAATTGAAGGATTATGACGTTCAATCTAGTCACGGATTGAGAAATCACTCATTGTCCTTGATATATTTGATAACAAACATTTATTATAATATAAGAATGAAAAAAAGATGCAGGTGTAAGGCAAAATCTTACCAGGACTATTTTTTTTAGCAACTTATGATTTATTTTTTATTTATGACTATTCATTTTCAATGATACCAATATTTTTAATTATTATTATCCAAATCATACATATACCTATATAAATTAATTTGATTGTGGCCATTTCTATTCTTAATCATTTTATTTATTTGCCATAGGTATGCGCAGCATTTAGTAAATTAATGATAATAATTAATAACACAACATTCTAACTGCATAAAGTATAATAAATTAAAAGTACAATTTCTACAAACCTCATTGGTTATGGTGATGGGGATTCTTTAAAACAGAATGATCATGATCTAACAAGTCATGGATTGATGAATCACTGGACTCACACATTATCTTTAATAAATTTATTAACAACATGTAATATTATTTAAGAAAGATGAATATTTTGTAAAACATTAAATGAAAGTCTTTGTGTGTGTGTTTGTCGCCGTGTTATCTGTGAATATTTATTTCATCGTATTAAAAATTAATTTCAAATTTTAAGATACAATATAACAACACATAAACAACCGATCTAGACATTTCTGATACTGCAATCAAACCCGGCTAACACGCATTAGCATCGACGAAGTCGCGGCGATTCTACCATCTGAGCTATCCCACCAAGTGCCTGTGTATTTGCATAAATGGGTATTATTAAATACCAACAAGAAGCGTATATAACCATGGGTATTTTGAGCAATTTGAAACTGAATCTGGGGAGATAATTGACAAAGCAAGATGACTGGACAGGTTTCGGTAATATTTTTGTGTTCATTTGCTTTTATGTTTCGTAGTTTTGTTTTATTTTTTCCACTCATTCGTTCGTTCGTTCATTCATTCATTCATTCGTTCGTTCATTCATTCATTCGTTCGCTCGTTCATTCATTCATTCATTCATACATCATTCATTCATTCGTTCGTTCACTCATTCATGCATTCATTCATATATTATTCACTCATTCATTCAACACATTAAAACGCCTCAGAAATAAATCATTCATCCAGCTACATCCATCCATCAAAAACCCACACCACACTCGTCACATCCATCCCTCAAGCCAGATTTAAATTTTTTATAATTCGCCAACATCATGTTTATTTCAAATGTCTGAAGAAGGTTTATTTATTATTTACTAGTCATTTCTTTTCTATTTTCAAAAAGCCATTCATTCATCCATCTTTTTTTTTATTCATTCCATCGTTCTTTCAGTCGTTCTTTTATTCGTTTATTGATCTTTCCGTCTGTTTGTCTGCGGTCCATCCATCATATGATTTGTCTCCCATCTATGGAATAATTTATTTATTTGTCCATTCATTCAATCATCCATTGACCTATTTTTCTACTAATGCAATCTTCATTCATTCATTTTTTATTCACTCATTCATTCATTTTTTTATTCATTCATTCATTTTTTATTCACTCATTCATTCATTTTTTTATTCATTCATTCATCATTCTTTTATTCATTCATTCATTTTTTATTGACCTATTCATTCATTTTTTTTTATTCATTCATTCAATCATTCATTCATTCAACCAGCCATTAAGGTAAGCTATGTGAATAGCTTACATTCCTTACATATAAACCAAAACTTCCAATTATTTTTTATATACAAACCAGGGGTGGACAAACTTTTTGTTGTGAGGGCCGCATTGAAAACTGTTTGACCTTCATCCAATCATCCAATCATTCATCATTTCATTCATTCATTCATTCATTCACTCATTCATTCATTCCTTCAACTGACCGTATATTGTTCTTTAAAATGAAAAAATCTCTCCAGGTTTTATAGGATGACCACTAGAATTAATCAATCAAACGCATTCATTATCACTTGTCTGTCAATAACTTGACTGATCGATTGGCCGATTAAAAAAAATATTTTAATTAAATTTATCAATCAGCTACTCAATAAATAAGAATTGATTGTCTATTCATTCATTCATTCATTCATTCATTCATTCATTCATTTTTTTAATTCACTTGGGTATTTCTTTGTTCATTCATTCGTTTGTTTTTTTTTTCATTCGTCCATAATTTATTCAGCCATCCAGATAACCAACCAATCAATCAGCCATAAGCCAATCAGCCAACCAACCAACCAACCAATCAGCTATCTATCCAACCAACTAATTAACAAATCAGTCATTCGGTCATCCAGCCAAACAACCAACCCATACTCACCTAAGGCCATTTATTAATTTCTATTTTGCTGAAAAAAACTTTAAAATTTTTATTTTTAAGAATTATTGGCTCTAGGTAATGTTCTTTTTGTCACCGAGATATCATCCTTAAAAATTAAGCTTAAAAGGTCATGCGAGCCAGTAAATAGTGCGATAACCACTGGTTTTGATTTTGTTGTCTGAAGAACTAAAAGCTTATATAGCAGTATATAGTGTGTGTTTGTGTGATGTGTGTGTGTGAATATGAGTGTCTGTGTGTGTGTGAATATGAGTGTCTGTGTGAATATGAGTGTCTGTGTGTGTGTGCCTGTGTGGTTGTTTGTGTGTGTGTGCCTGTGTGGCTGTTTGTGTGTGTGTGAGTGTGAATATGAGTGTCTGCGTGTGTGTATATGTGTGTGTGTGTTGTGTTGTAAACTTTCTGCTGTTCATTCATTCATTTGGCCAGTCAACTATATTACATATTAGAGAAAAAGAGATAGAGAGAGAAAGAGAGAAAGAAACTAGATAAAAAGAACGAGAAAAGAGAGAGAAAGGAAAAAGAAATAAATATTAAGAAGAAAAAAGAGAGAGATAGAGAGAAAAGAATGAGAAACAAACAGAAGCGTGGAAGAATGAGACGGTGAGAATAAAGTAAAGATCATTTTTTTGTTGCAAATCGGTTTTTTATTTATTTTTAACTGTTTAAAAATTAATTCAGACTTTGGATATTTTCCCCAGACACTCTTTCTTTCTCTTTCTCTCTCTCTCTCTCTCTCTCTCTCTCTCTCTCTCTCTTTTTCTCTCCCTCTCTCTTTAACAATTTTTTCAAAAATAAAAAGCATTTGAAAGATAACACACCCATGATCATAACTGAATACTAAATGTTAGTTGTGTTGAAGTTTTGTTTAATAAACAATCAAAAATAAATCATATAACCAAATCATATATCTATAATATATGATTCAATCAGATCACCAAATCATATATATTTATTTGCGTAATTATTTCTTCAATTAATCTTTCTTCGTTTATTCATTCGTTCATTCATTCATTCAATCAGTCAGTCATTCGTTTATTCATTTGTTCATTCATTCATTCATTCATACATGCATTCATTCATTTGTTGCTTAATAATCAAATGAAACTTAACAGGGCACAACATTAAATCAGGCTGTGATTTCAATGTAAATAATAAAGTAATCACATCAAAAGAATAACACTTAATTAAGAATTAAATAAACAATCAATCATATAATTAATTAAATAATTTTTATTACGTTTTACAAAAAAAACCATTTAGTTCATTTAATTTTCAATTTAATAATAACTAAATTATTTTATTCCAATTAATTAGTTAGACTAACACTCTTAACTAGGTAGGCACAACACTAAGCAAGTATAGTACGTATGTGTGTGTGTGTGTGTGTGTGTGTGTGTGTGCGTGCGTGTGTGTGCGTGTGTATGGTGTGTGTGTACGTGTGTGTAGAAGTAAATTAAACGTTATAACACGATATAGTAGAAGATCTATAATAAAGATCTGATAAAAAAATATTTATATAATTGTATAAATGTATATATAACTGTAGATCTTGATGCATGTTTCAAACAAACAACAAAAAACAAGTTTGTATATTGTAATATTCGTAGGTAAACATAAAATTAGAAAATAAAATTCATTTGTTTTTTCATTCATCTATTCATTCATTCACTCATCCATTCATTTATTCATTCATTCATTCACTCATTCATTCATCCATCAATTCATTCATATATTTTTATATATGTATATATATTTATTTTATAACTTTACCTAAACGCGCGTAGAATAATGAAATAAATGTAGTAATCTTGGCAGAGTCAAAAATTAAAAAATTTCCTAACAAATGGCCCAAAATGTAATGTTTCAATAAACCGATACATAAAACTTATCCTAAGCGAATAAAGCTAGTTTTTAAACCAGAAAAATAATCAAACGATCGCCTTACTACAACTCCCACGATAACATTCCAACTACTCCAACTTTGGATACACTCCCATTCCCATTCCGACAAAGTTCCGACCTCACTTCCGACTAACTGACGACATTATCCGCATCTTTCTTAAGGGGTTCGTACTTGGTGAGCATGGGTTGCGTCATCGCGCCATTGTCGATGGGAGTAGCGATCTTGTAGATCCCATTTCCGTTCTGTTTCTCCTCCAAATCCACTTCAACCGGATCGAGTTGGTCCCGTGCCCATGGTTGGATTTCCGCCGACGCCAGGACGCAGTAGAGGACTGCACCCACCACGTACACCACCGCTGCTATCGAGAAGACGATCTGCCAGGATTCTCTGGATTGCTGAGTAAAGGGATGGTTTGTTTGTTTGTTTGTTTGTGTGTTTGTTCGTTTGTTTGTTTGTTTGGAAAGTTGTTTATTTGTTTGTCTATGTGTTTGTTTGTTTGTTTGTGTGTTTGTTCGTTTGTTTGTTTGGAAAGTTGTTTATTTGTTTGTCTATGTGTTTGTTTGTGTGCTTGTTCGTTTGGAAAGTTGTTTATTTGTTTGTCTATGTGTTTGTTTGTTTTTTGTGTAAATACGTGTGTTAAACCAAACTTTGTTGAAATAAAGAAGTTTTTCTTCGTTTAATTTGATAAATCAAACATAAGAATATCAAAAAATTAAGCAAAAAAAAATTAATTTAAATGAAATTGAAAACGACATCTGTAAAAACGCACATCCTTCGTGACATAAGCGGCAACATTGGGAGCCAAAAATCCGGAACATGCTGAAATCCCATTGGCGAGTCCCATAAGGGTACCTGCGTATTGAGGGGCTATATCCATGTGGTTGACCAGGTAACCGGAGAAGACGAAACCACTGACGGACACAGCGAGGACCAGGAGTACCACAGCCACCGCTGTCTGCGTGCAGTCGATGAAGCTGAGGCAGATGAGGAGGATGGCTGGCCCGACCAGGCCTGGGTTGTTTTTGAAAATGGGTTTTGGGTTTGTTGCTGTTGGTGTTGTTGTTGGTGTTGTTGTTGGGTTTGTTGTTGGTGGTGGTGTTATTATTATCGTTTTTTGTTGTTGTTGTTAATTTTATTGTTGTTGTTGTTGTTGTTGTTGTTGTTAACCACATGCAATGTATGTTAAGCGTGACACTTCTGAAAAAATTAACAAAAAGAAGAAAATCTAAAAAAATTATTATAATAATTATAATAATAAGCCACACCCCCAAAAACAAACGAACCAATAGTATTGAATATTTTTCTCGTGGCCACCGTGCTGAGCACCCCCGACGACTGCAACTTATCAGCAATCACTGGCACTATGTTCATAACCGCCCACAAGCCCAGGAATGGTAGAGCCGAGAAAAATCCATTCTGTGAGATTCGAGGGGTGTTCAAGTTAATTTTTAATTTTTTATTGTTCATCATAAACGCTGTACATCAGACTAACCGGCGGATAAAATTAAAATAAATACGCGAGTGTGTGTATCTATGTGAGTGCGTTTGTGTGTTCGTGTGTGTTTAATTACAATTGAATTATACAATAGGAAAAGCGAACACAGACACACGCACACGCACACACATGCACACATATATGAAAAAAATTTCTCGTTCATTTAAAAAAAAATTTAATTTCACTCGGCAACTGAATTTGCATTTGAGTTAGTCGCATCAACAATTCAAATTAAGTTCATTCCTCGGCTTTATAGATGCTTTTTTATCATTTATAAATTTCGACCTTTGGGTTTATAAACAAAAACAAACAACAACAATATCCTCAAATACGCAATTTGACGTCATAAACAACGATAAATCAACATGAACAATAGCGTCGCGAACAACAATAACAACGCTAAAACAATAACAGTGAATTAGAGAAACAAAATCAACAACAACAACAACAACAATAATAATAATAATAATATCTATATCTTTATTTCTTCCGTATTAATTTTATTTAAGACATCTCATAAATCACCAGAATTATGATTTTAGCAACGCAAATAGCCTGCCTTGTTTTATTGTTTTCTTTTTTGACAGTCTCACAACTAATGCAAGTGCTAATTTTTCTAGCATACAAAAAATATGCAGAAAAACATACAAAAACATAGAAGAAAATGCATAAAAAATATACAACAACATACAAAAATATACCAAAAAATACAAGAAAAAGTGCAAAAATACAAAAATATACATCAAAATACCGCAAAGTAAAAAAACTACAACAAAATACAAAAAATATACATCAAAATACCAAAAAAATACAAAAAATATATACATATTGCATACTCACAGAGCTAATATCGAAGAAAAGGACTTCCTTGTAGAACGTAGGTATGTTGGTAAGGTAGGTGTATAGGCCCCAATCTGTGCTGAAGTTTGCGATGATGAGGGCCCAGACGGGGCCGGACGTGAAGAATTTTGCCCAAGGGACTTTGCACAACTGTTTGAATGTTTGTTTGTATGTTTGTTTGTGTGTTTGTGTGTGTGTTGATGTTTGTGTGTTTGTATGTGTTTGTTTGTTTGTATGTTTGTGTGTGTTTGTTTGAATGTTTGTGTGTTTCTTTTGTGTGTGTTTGTTTGAATGTCTGTGTGTTTGTGTTGTGTTTGTATGTTCAACTCACATCAGTTTTAGCGGTACTGCCGCCCCCAATCTTGATGGAGTCAATGATGTACTTCTTCTCCTCTCTCGACATTTTTGGGTGTTGGGCTGGCGTGTTGCTGGTTACCAGACTCCATACAATTATGCAGACTGTAGACGACATACCTGTTCGTTTGTTTGTATGTTTGTATGTTTGTATGTTTGTTTGTATGTTTGTTTGTATGTTTGTTTGTATGTTTGCTTGTATGTTTGTTTGTTTGTATTTATGTTTGTTTGTTTGTTTGTATGTATGTTTGTTTGTATGTTTGTTTGTGTGCTTGTTTGTTTGTATGTTTGTTTGTATGTTTGTTTGTTTGTTTGTTTGTATTTATATTTGTTTGTTTGTTTGTCATTTTATGTTTGCGGAAAAACAAAAAATGTCAAAACGAACATTTTTAATCTGTAGTTTGATTGTTAAATGTTTAAGAGTGGCGGCAAACATGTTTCAAAACAAGCGCGAAACAACTTTCATGTTTATACCTTTTTGTCTTTTAAAAGTGAAAAACGAAAATTGCCAACAAAACGAAACTAACCAATAATATAAAATATGGAATCCCAGCCCTGGGAAAACCCATGTTGGCAGAGCAAACCTGAAACAGGTAGGGCTATTACATTGCCCATCATGGCACCTGATTGATTGGTTGGTTGGTTGGTTGATTGATTGGTTGATTGACTAATTGGTTGGTGACCACCATCATCATATATTTATTCTCATTAAACAAACAAACAGACCCATCATCACCAACACTCCAGTTATCATCATTACCACCACCACCACCATCATCATCATCATCAACATACTGACCGGCGTAGGTCAGTCCGCATAGGGTTGACCTTTCCAATGGGGGTGACCACTGGCCCCACATAGCGTGCATGGCTGGATACAGAGTGCCCTGTTTATTATTATTATTATTATTAATGCTGTTTTTGTTGTTGCGTTGCTGGTGGTAGTGGTGTTGTTGTTGTTGTTGTTGTTATTGTTGTTGTTGTTGTTCAACTTTGCTACAATATCAAAGAAGAACTCTGATGCGATCGAAGTTTGCAATCATCTTATTGTTGCTTTTTCTCATTACAAAAACTTTATCATTGTGACTTCAAATATTCATGAAGTTAAACATCGCCGTCGTCGTCATCATACTCATCATCATCGTCGTCGTCATCATCATCAGCAGCATCTTTAGCATCCTCATCAGCAACAACATCATCATCACAAACACCATTCACTGACGTCATCATCAGAGCCATCTACACGTCATTATCACTCTGTCAAGTTCAATCCGGACGACCAGGCTAAATATAGGAATGACATAAAGAGAACAGGTGATGATGATGGTGACGACGACTATGATGATAAACAAGTGTATATACAAAAATATACAAAAACATACAAAGACATAAAAACAAATACGAACAAATACAAAAACATACAAACGTATACAAAAAATACATACAGAGGTATGCATAAATAGAAGAAAGAGAGAAAGAGAGAAAGGGAGAGAATGAGAGAGAGGGAGAAAGAGATGATTGGCGGGTTGTTGAGAGCAGATGTCTCTAGCTAAACAAATGATGCTATCATTGCAGTTGTTGTTATTATTATTTAGAGTAGTAGTAGTAGTTGTTGTTGTAATAGTAGTAGTAGAAGTAGTAGTAGTAGTAGTAGTAGTAGTAGTAGTAGTAGAAGTAATAGTAGAAGTAGTAGTAGTAGAAGTAATAGTAGAAGTAGTAGTAGTAGTAGTAGTAGTAGTAGTAGTAGTAGTAGTAGAGTGCTTTCCATTATTATTATTATTACTGTTATTACTGTTATTACTATTATCATTGTTAGATAAATTTTCGAACAAAAGATTAAAGTTGACGTTAACAAATGCCTTTTAGACGTTGTCACATTCACAAGCACACACACACACACCCACACACACACACACACACATAGATACACAAACATACACACATAGACACAAACATACACACATACACACATAGACACAAAGAAACACACACGCACACACTAGCACACAAACGTAATCAAGTTCATTTGTAAAGATTTTTAGATCTTTTTGTCTGTTTCCCATATTGAAGACGAGATGAAACTCTGGTAACAACACATGTATGTATGTATGTGTGTATGTATGTATGTGTGTATGTATGTATGTATGATGTGCATTGTGAGTTTGTATATGTACGTGTGTGTGTGTGTGTGTGTGTGAGTGATTGAGTGAGTGTGTGAGTGAGTGTGAGTGAGTGAGTGAGTGTGTGAGTGTGTGAGTAAATCAGTGAGATATACTTAATTTGTATTTGTATCTAAAGAAGCCACGTAAACATTGCAGAACTGATAAAACGCCAACCTACCTACAAAATTTGTTTACCTTCGGATATTAACGACATGGTATCATAGTTTTTTCCATAAACATTTCTTCTTCGTCATTTTTTTTATATTTTTATTTTCATTATTTAACTTTGTTAATATTGAAATTATTTGTTATGTTATAATTGCGACAAATTTTATGTTTAGCTTGAATGCTATTTTTTGTACCGCCATTCTGAAATAATTTTTTTGTTTTACCATTAGAAACCAAAAAGTTTTAGTTTGCTTCGCGTATACATTCACACACACACGTACGAACTCACACACACGCAAACATGCACGCACACACGCACAGACAAGCCGACATAGGTCACCACTACAAACAAAATTATAAAAGAGAATATAAAAAAACAACGTTAAAACAAATTCATCGTGAAACTTTTTTCAAGAAAATATAAATCAAAATGAAAAATTTCAAAATGAAACTGAAATCAAACAAAAAAAGCCCAACCTACCGAGCCAATTCCGCAGAGCACCCTAACGAAAATCAGCAGCCCGATGTGGATGTGCGCGGCCACTGGGGTCAGGAGCGTGGCAAAAGTGGAAAGGCCCAGCGATCCCACCAACACCCATTTGCCGCCAAACTGTTCCGCCATTAGCCCGCCAGGAATTTGAGACACAAGGTACCCGTAGAAAAATGAACTGAGTATGTGGCCTTGGACGCTTTTTTCCCATACAAACGGGCCATCCTTAGGTGTGTGTGTGTGTGAATGTGTGTGTGTGAATGTGTGTGTGTTTGTGTGCGTGTTTGTGTGTGTGTTTTTTTTAAATTATGTTCCGATGAATTATTTTATAAAAACTTTAAATATTTATTCTCCATTTTGAATATTTGTGATTTTTTTAGTGGAATGTTGAAATAAAAATGTTATAATGATACACTAGACGTGAGAATTTCAATCATTGTAATTATGATGAAGAGTTTAAAACATCAAAATCAACAAAAACAAAACAAAAACACAACAGAACCCATCAAAACACCAACCAAAACGGCTTTCGTCTCATTGGTCTCGAACACGCCACACTTCTCCGCTTGCGTCAGCGTTGGCGGCGGTGACGTCAGATTTACAGACGACGATGACGTCATATTAAAAGATGACGACAGCGACAAATGATCATTAGACTCGGCAGCCAGTTGAGTCAATTGCTTGACTGCAGTCTGGTTGACCATGCATACAATCGCCACAGACATCCCGATCCTCTGGGCATACAGGTGGAAAAACATAAAGTACCCAACCAACGCGAGAATTAGCCGGTATGAGCAGAACAGTGGGTACTTTTGGATTGCCTCTAGGTTCAATAATTATAATTATCACAATTAATACAATTGAAATAAATATAATTTTTATTATGTTATAGTAGCTTGTTTTTATTATCTCTACCCTTATTGCAATCGTTAATTCTAGTTTGGATAGCTGTAAGAGAATAATTAGAAGTAGTAGTAATAGTAGTAATAGTAATAGTGGTAGTAGCGGTAGTAGCAGCAGCAGTAGTAGAAGAAGTGGCAGTAGAAGTACTGATGCTAGTATTATAAATAAGATGATAATGTTGATACGATGAGTGATGATATGTGATGACGATTATGATAAATCTGGTTTGGATGATAATGGAAAAATACAACGACATAAAATTAAATGATAATTAATCTTTTCCAAAAAAAATTAGCAAAAAAATTGAAAAACAATTACCCGGTCCTTCTTCTTTTTCCTGTTCCTTTTTCATTTTTTGTTGTTTTTTTTACAAGTTGATTAAATAGAGTTATCAGTTTCGTTTGCTAAAAAATCCTTCATAAATAAAAAAATTTGGTAATTAACATAATAATAATAACAATAATCATAACCAACAACATCACAACAACATCAACCCACATCAACATCACAATCAACAAACATCAACAACACCACCAACAACAACATCAACAACATCTTCAGCATCTGAAACTTGACGAAGAGCATGGCCAAACTAGTTAGACCGTTAAACCCAAAAAAAAACTAGAGAATAGTAACAATAAACCAAATCCCATAACAAAAATAACAATAACAACAATAATAATAACAACAAAATAAGTGCACACCCTAAATTCTCATCATGAATCTCTTAAACTTTGAACTTTTTGACATATATATATATATATATATATATATATGTGTGTGTATGTGTGCGTGTGTGTGTGTGTGGTGTGTGTTTGTGCGTGCGTGCTTGCATGTAAACATTTAATCGTTCAAGCGTTCAAATACATAGGTGTTTGTCGAGTACGTACTTATATCTATCTATCTATCTATCTTTCTATCTACCTACCTACCTACCTACCTACCTACCTACCTACCTATCTATCTATCTATCTATCTGTCTATCTAATTATATATATATATATATATATATATATATATATATATATATATATATATATATATATATATATATATCTAACAATCCTATTCATGTGTCAGACAAACGAAATATTTGTCATCAAAATTAGGTCGAATCAATGTAGTGGGTGACAGGATTGTATGAGTGTTTTGTGTTTTAACTCACATAAGGGCCGGATTTAAGGTAAGACAGGCGGCCCATTGAGCGCCCGGAAAAAAGGGGTATCAATGAGATAAACATTGTAAGAGCCTACATTTTCCCCATTTTAATAAATTGGGTAAGATTATTTTTAAAAAAGTATCCAACAGAACTGTTTTAAAATGATAAACAGAATGATAAAAGGAATAAACATAAACTCGAATGATTGACATAGTGGCTTGCATGTTAAGGTAGATCTTATGCATACCATTGTACGTGAATACATTTAAATTTACCAGATCATTCTAGTTATTTTTGTTGTAGTCGTTGTCTCGTTATGCCTCGTTTGTATTTAAATAAAAAAAACTAATTATATCATGGACGCATACGTACAGACGCATACAAACAAATACACACTACATACATACACACAAAAACATAAACAACTAATTATCTCACACGGACACACACGTACAAACGCATACAAACAAATGCATGCATACATACATACATACTCACATTTATAAACACACAAATGTTCATATAAACATACGTTCATTCAGGCATACATTAAAACATACACGCACATACACAAAAATATGCACACATGCACACAAATACATGCACACAAACAAACACAAACACACACACACACACACACATTTAAATAAACCTGTAGTAGAGATACAAAAACAAATATTTAGCGTATAATAATAATAATAATAATAATAAAAATAACAATAACAATAATAATAACTACAATAACAATTATAACAGAGGTGAATAAGAATAATAGAAATAAAAAATACATCGAAACTAATTAGCATTAAGATATTATTTGTAAATAAGCAGATAGGCCTATTTTGTGTAAAGCGTTTGCTAGAACTATCTATCTATTTATTTGATGATTCTTTTTAATTATTTTATTTACTAAATAATTACCACAATAATTCATTTGTTCATTCATTCATTCGTTTGTTTTTTCATTCGTTGAATCGTTCTCAGTATGATTGTTTTGTTCTACGTTTATGTATGTTTGTATATATGTATGTATTTCTTTTTCGTTGTATATCGTGTATGTTTGTTTGTATGTTGGTTCGTTTGTATGTTGGTTCGTTTGTATGTCATGTTTGTTTTGTTCTACGTTTATGTATGTTTGTATATATGTATGTATTCCTTTGTCGTTGCATGTATATATGTTTGTATTTTGTCATATGTATGTTTGTGTGTTGGTTCGTTTGAATGTTTGTATGTTTTGTTTTGTGTTGTTGTTGTGCATTCGCGTCGACATGTTTTTCCATTTAAGAATCTTTTTAAAAAACCAAGCCAAACTTGAAATGTCACTTTGAAAAAATTGTTTCTCAAAAACAATAACAATAATAATAATAATAATAATGATAATAATAATGTTAATAATAATATTAATAATAAATATAATTACTACTAATAAGGATAATAATTATTTTAATTAACTTTTCTATAACTAAGAAAAAAATCATAAAATATAAAAAAGGTTAGGTTTAAGCGTTAACATATGTATGTACTTATCGGTTAATTGATTGATTAATTAATTGGTTGATTGATTGATTAATTGATCGATTGAATATTAAATAATATAGTTATATTAATAATACAACATAATTACAGATTATATTATGTAAGTTGAAATATCAATCAAATTTATCATAAAGTTAATATTTAACAATACTATTCTTATCCATGTTCAACGTATAATGAGTGAGTGACACGTGTAAATATTTGTTGAGTGAATGAAAGAACGAACGAACGAACGAACGAATGAACGAATGAATGGATGAATGTAAGTATGTATGAATGAATGAACCAACGAACGAAAAACGAATGAATGAATGAATGTATGTATGAATGAACGAACGAACGAACAAACGAACAAACAAACGAATAAATGAACGATTAACCGAATGATTAAGTGAATGAATGAACGTACTAACCAACTCACTAACAGATTCTATATAACAAATAACACCAACACCAATATATATATTATATGTATGTGTGTGTTATTCTCATATAATCACGTACGATACTAAACACAACAACGAAGTAGAGTAGTACAGTTTATAAATTTAACTTTATTCAATGAACAAATTGACTGAGTCACATAAGTTTTTAAATGAATTTTTTTTTGTATGCATGAAAATGTAAACACGAATGCTGCAGCCCGAGCTCTTTGCCGGCATGGTTTATATAGGCTGAAAATTATACACAAAAATGAATAAATGAACATGTATATATACATACATACATACATACATACATACATACATACATACATACATACATACATACATATATATATATATATAATAATGAGTTATGTATGTATGTATATATGCATGTATGTATACCGCTTATGAACATACATAAACATGAACAAAAACATGTTAAACATAAACATAAAATACTTGTTATATGTATTGTATTAAGCAATTTTTATACACGTGTAGAATGGAATATAAAAATACACGGGCATTCGTACATACATTGGATTATACAATAATACATACATACAATTCGCACACATACAAACACATACAAACATATACATACATGGACGTTTTATAAATATACATACATATATACAAACAAACAATCATGCATACATGCATACATACATGCATACATGCGTACACACAATTGTGTACATTGATGCATACATGATGTTCCTTTTCAAGTCAATATACCGTGCATATTACACATACGCACTCACACACACATACACACTCACACACGTACACACACATAAATAAATAAATAAATATATATATATACCAACACAACACACACACATATATATATAGAATTTATATATAGAATTTATATATCATCCATAATTGTAGGCCCCATATAAACATCAACAAGGGCTCATATTGCTACATGTTATACAGAAAAAACTGGATGAATGAGTGTGTATGTGTGTGCGTGTGTGGGTGTGTGTGTGTGTGGGTGTGTGTAAGTGGGTGTGTGTAAGTGGGTGTGGGTTTGACATTTATTTCGTATTTCGTTTGACATGTTTATATGGCATAGTTAAGTTTAATTCCTCTAGTATGATGCAGTTATTATTTAAGTTTTATTCCTCTAGTTATAACATATCATCATGATGTTATCATCAACGTGTTGTTGTAATGTGGGAATGGTGATTATTTCTGCAGCCTTTTGAATAAATAAATTCAACTGTGGCGTAAACATTTGTGTTAAAATAAAATAAAATATTTAAAATATTTAACGGCCATGTTAACATTAGTTTGATTTAAATTAAAAAGGCGAATTAAATTGTTGTTGTTGTTGTTGTTGATGATGATGATTTAAAGTTTGTTTAAAATTTTTCAAAATGATGCAATCAGCTGAAATTTATATTATATTTATTCATATTTATATTATATTATTATTTATTATTAATGTTATTCATTTTCCGGAAATGATGCAACAAAATAAAATTAATAAATTATGCTAATGAGTTAGCTGGACTAGGAAATTTTCTCTAAAATTTCATCATCGTGTTGTTATGGTGGGCGTTACTTAGACGACGCATCAAAGCAATAGTATCAATACACACACACATAAACACACATACATACATCAACATACAAGCTTATGCAAGTATATACATGCTCTACGCCATATATGCATCCATATACAAAACATATGTGTGTATAGGTGTATATATTTGTGTGTGTGTTTGTGCATATGCATTATTTTTGATCAATCAACAGGCAATGAATGAATTGTTATGCTATATAACTCATTCAACAGCTATAAATTGAAGATTTCTATGGTTTATTAAATGGTTAAATAGATATTTTATACTAAACACGACTAAACACGCACATATACAAAGACACATATACAAAGACACATATACAAAGACATACACACTCACACACATTTTTTGATTTTTTTCGTTCTTTTCCTCACATTTTTCTCCTATTTCATTGCCAGATACAAATTCAATGCCCAATACACCTATACAACTTAATACAATAGAATACAATAACAGTGCATTGCATTACAATACAATACAAATACAATTCAATACAATACAAATATATACAAAAATGCAAAATATTACTCTAGAATGTTTGACTTTTCCAAAAAATCCAATGTTTCACATTAATACTTAATTGTATTTATAATTTATATAAATCTTATTTAATTGTGTATATTCTATTTTATGAATAATTTGTTTAGAGTTTAATATTTAAAATGTTGTTAACACTTAAATCCTCTTTTAAATTCAATCAGCTGGTCTTGTTTACGTAACCACCTGGTATTTCCAAATTTAGTTAAAATCCCAAAATGACGTCAATCGGGAAAGGTAAATTATTTAGATTAAATTACATTTTGCCATATTTTTATTACTAATTAAACACTAATTATAACGTTTTATATTATTTGATGTGCGAAAATTTCAAAACAATTAACATTTTGGTGTTAAAAAACTTCGCTGTTCTTTGCCTTTGATTGGGTTGTGCTTGTGGCGGGTTTGGTCACTTTTAGTTTTTAGAGATTTTAGACACGTCACCAATTTTAATTCTACATTTAGTTTAGTTATTAGCTGAATTGGAGTAACTTACTAACTCAAACTGTGCATGTAACGATTGTTAGTGATGTGATTAGTTAGATATTAGTACAAAGTACATCAGAATATAATATTATAATGCTTCTCTGCCTTTTGGCTATGATCAACAAAATGTAGTACACAATTTTTACAGTTTGTTACACATTCATTAATTATTGATTAATTTATATTTTACACTTTTAGTTGAACTAAAAGCTAGACTATTTTCCTTCTAATATATTTGTTAGTTTTCATTAATTTTTATTTTGCAAAATCAGATTTTAAAATAATTTTCCACAGTCGTGCCTATAGTTGGAGTGATCCAAAATTATGCCTGGGGTAAAAAAGGTACTGAAAGTGAAGTTGCCAAATTATACAAGGGGTCAATCCCTTCCTTCAACATTCAGCCTGGCTCGCCATATGCTGAAGTTAGTAAAATAAATGTATTTTCTCACAAATAAATATTTTGTTAAAACAAAAAAATAATGAAAAATACAATTTCATTTATTTAGCTCTGGTTTGGAACTCACCCTAAAGGCCCGTCAAAATTATTAGAAAATTCTGAATTGTTGACATCGTGGTTGTCAAAAAATCTCCAGCAGGCTAGTTGTAATCATTCCAATGAGCTGCCATTCCTACTCAAAGTTCTATCAGTTGACACTGCTCTATCGATACAGATACACCCAAATAAGGTGTTGTGTGTGTTTGCAACTTAATTAACATTCATACAATTATGTGAGAGACAGGAATCACCTGGCATTTGAACCCACATCCACTGCAACAGATGTGCTAGGCAGGCACCTCAAACATTTCACCTTTTTCTTGCTCATTCTAGGCATTCGCTATTCCAAAACGAAATTTCAAATTCATAACAACCAAAAAACAAACAAAAGTTAGAAGCAGGGGAGTTGCACAAATGGAACCCAAGAGAGTATCCGGACAGCAATCACAAGCCCGAAATGGCAATAGCCCTGACGTCGTTTGAGGCCCTTTGTGGTTTTAGGCCTCTTCAAGAAATTGAGCACTATTTTTGTGGTATGTTAATTTTATTTCTTTTCATTTATGTTTCAATATATCATTCCATTGGTTTATTCTGTCTGTTTTTCCCATCCTTCATTCATTCATTCGTTCGTTCGTTCATTCATTCCTCCTCCCATTCATTGACAGATTTAGATGAACTGAAGATACTAACAAAATTAGTGACCGATTCGGCGCATCACGTGACTACAGCGGGAAAAATCTTCCAAACCGAACTGGACTTCAAAAATTCGTTTGTATCCCTGATGAATTGCGATGCTGGGATCGTTAAAGAGCAAGCTGCTAGTCTCAATGGAAGGATATCAAAAAGTTTCATATACTCTTACTTTCTTTATGGTTTTCATTGCTATTATTCACTCATTCATCCATTCATTAATTCACTTTTCCACTCAAACATTCATTCACTTGTTCATTTACTTAAGAATTATACTGATTCTTTTTCTCCTTTATCGATCCATCCATTTCATCACGCACTCACTCATTCAGTCACCCACTAATTTACTCATATCTTCCCTAAAATTAGACAACGAAATGAAGTCAGACCCGAACCACGCCCTATTTTTGAGACTTCACTGCCAGTACCCCGGCGATGTTGGCTGCTTCTGTGTCTACTTCCTCAACTACGTCACGTTGAAACCAGGAGAGGCCCTTTTTCTCCAGTCAAATTTGCCGCACGCATATATACATGGAGGTAGTTGTTGATAATAATGATGTTGATGATGATGTTGATGATGATGTTGTTGATGTTGATGATGATAATGTTGTTTTTTCATTTTCTCATTCGATTATTCACTCTGATTTGTTTATTTAACTATTCATTCGTTTAGTCATTCATTCGAACATTCATTCAGTCTTTCGATATTCATTTATCTAATCATTCGCTTACTCACTCACTCATTATTTTTTTTTCATTTATACACTTTTTTGAAAAAATTTTCCACCCCCCCCCCAAAAAAAACAGACTGCATAGAGTGCATGGCCAACTCGGACAACGTGGTCAGGGCAGGTTTGACCCCAAAATTCAGAGACGTCGATACCCTCTGTCGATTAGTGAAATACGAAAATAGGCAAATCAGAGATGTGCTTTTCGATTCGGTTAGTCACCCAACGGATGAACGTATCATTGTTTATAAGCCGCCAGTTGACGAATTTGCCGTTGAAATGATCTCCGTGAGTATTTTGTTGTATTTTAGTTTCATAATTTTCGAAATAGTTTTGTTGTGGTGGTATTCTCATTCTTAGAGTTGAACATTCTTGCCACAAATACTGTAACAACATCCACACCCCACGACGAACGGACACGCCACATATCCACATGTGCATGCAAATTTTGTGTGCACGCACATAGCTATTGACTGTCCTTGAGTTTCGGACAGCTTTCGAACCAGGCCATCGCGCTATAGCAACCAACGTGAGACGTATCGCTTCTACCGTCTGAGCTAATTCGTCCATCATTACCGTTTATATTATTATTATTAAAATCAATAATAATAAAGAAGTATAAACATTAATAATCGATGAATGAATTAATGAAATACTTTCCGCCGAACCATACAGCTAGCTAAGGATTTCAAGAAATACACCATGCCAGCTACTAGTACATCAAGTATTTTGCTGGTAACAAAAGGTCAGGCAAAACTTTACTGCATCAACAAGAGTAATGAAGATAATGATGATAATAATGGCGGTAGAAACGTTCGTGGTGATGACAATGGTGATAAGAGGGTGGTGTTTCATGTGCATAAGGGCAGTTCATTTTTTGTCGGTTTCAATGAATCGATTTGTTTGATCCAGTGTGATGATTATAAAGATGACGATGGTGGTGGTTTGGTGATGTTTAGAGCTTTTTCGCAAGTTTAATAAAATAATTTCAACATTTTCTTTAGTGGATTTTGTTTTTATTGATAGAATTTTATGGATATGTGAGATGTGTATGTATTTATTAAACGTTTATGTATGGTAGTTTGTCTTTTAAAATTGGTGAATTTCGAACATAACATTTGAGGAATTTTATTAATAAAATTGTTGAAATATGTTTTTTGGTGTTGTTATTTAACTCATTTAAAATGTAAATACCGTAATAAAATTAATAATTCAATCAGACGAAGATTCGTCTTACGAATAAACGAATTATTTACAATTGAAACAAATTTACAAGTCAAACAAAGAATTTGAACGATTTCAACGTGAAATCAACACAGTCTTGAGAAAATAAACTAAACTAACATAGTCAATATAACAAGCGCAAATCTATTAAATGAAGTTCCGCCTGGTTAAATATTTTACAGATAAAATCACACACGAATGTCTCTGGCATGTGTGATTATTTATGTGTGGAATTTCAACAATTCAAACGTGAAATTTACAGATTCTCGAGAAAACAAATGAACGAACCAAATTCAGCATAACTTAAACAAACCTACTCTTTAAAATTATGATTACTATTGGTAAATTATTATAGCACCAACATCTTATACCAAAACTCATCATACAAACACTTACAACAAATGAGCATACACTTACAACAATTGTACACACAACTACAAAAATTGTACATACTTACAAACAAATACACATATTTTACATTAACTTTTGAACAACGGAACCAGTCAGCAGGCACCAACTCCCTCAAGTCCGACACTAAGCCGGACAGGAACGATCATCGGTGAGGTCACCCCCTGCCTCCCCCGGAGAGGAGGCCACAGGGACGACTGTCTGTCTCACGCTCAGGAGTAGGTGCTACCACTCGTCATCCTGGTTTAAGGTGTTATGTCAGTTTTGACTGACGTCCAGGCGATGCATACTATAGAAATGATCCCTAAAAGTATGATCTTGGTCCACCCCTATTTCACCGATTGTTATGTTCAGAAAAGTTGAGTTAGTTTGTGGTGGAATATAAAATAATATTAAATTGAAGTGTTTTAATTTAATTTTAAATTGGAAAATTATTTTACTTTATTTTGAACAAATAATTAAAATTTTAAAATTTTAAATATATAAAATTTAGAAGTGTTTTTAAAAATCAGTGCAGCGAACGTGTACATATTTTAGGACAACTGGGGAGGAAAATATAATTTCATCAGACGTACATAAGAGAACAGCGCGCTCGTATTCCAAGTAGGTACAACTGGTAAAATTTCAATGACATTGAAATGTGTTGAATTAAAAGTTTAATGAATGATGATGTACAATATCATAACAACGTTCAAAACTCAGGCTAAATCGTTATATTCTTCATTGAGTTATAAATTAATGTAAGCTCCGGCGTTTTAAATCCGCTATTCCTTGCGAGACGTACTAGCACCAATGTCGCCAATCAACTATTAGATATCTTTAGACAACTCAACCAAGCCATCCTCCTGAAATAAATATTGCACTTGCATCAATCAACTAAATGACGTTCATCAGGTGGAAAAAAATCGATATAAAAACTGGGTTGAACAAAGAAAATGGAAATGGAGGTTAGTGTAGAATTGAACTAAACACAAGCATTGGAGATGGGTTAGCTTTATAACAACAGATAATGAAGAATTGAACTATGCACACGAACCAGGAAATAGGAATTTAAATTGATTTGAGTGGTGAATCAAGTAAACATCGGTTCAACCTAGTTTACTCGATAAAAATTAAACATTCGAACCCGATCACCGCATGGTGATCACACACTACAGCGTAGTTAGCCCACAAATATTCACATTCCTTATATTAAGAAAAGTTTGAAGATTGTTTCGAGTGGCTAATTTAAAAAAATTGTTTTTTAATGTTAGCAATTTATTAAATAAATAAATTAAATTTTATACAGTAATTTTTATAAAAAAATTATGTTTATATTTATAAATAACTTTAAACGTTTTTTAATCTTTCAAGTGCTTAGAAATGCACCTAGCGAACAAAAGGGTAATAAAGCAAAAAACGATTCGGCGAAACCTGGCGAGTTAAACTAAATATACACGCATCTCTACTGAGCCATCTCGCCGGCCAATAATAAATAATATTTATTAAAAATTTTCTGGCCCTGGCCCACACAATTGTTTATTTAAACAGACGGATAAATTTAAAAAAAAATAAAAAATATTAAATTTTTCCTGCTGTGTATCAAGTATTGTTTTAATAGTTATTGCCATTATTCTTCAATCCCTGCGTTAATTTTATAGGTATCAGAATTTGAAACCTTTTATAGATACATCAAGCTTTTTTCAAAACGTTTTATGAACATTTATCTAAAGTCATATATTCAGGATCATTTTTAACTATTTTCGTTTAATTAGTTCTATTTTAAGAGTCAAAAATATATTATGAACAGTTTGTATTTGCCATTTTTTATCTTTTTTTTTTACGTAATAATCATTTGTTTTCAAATTTGATTTATTTTTCAAACCAAACTAATTTCGGCATAAAGTTCCTAGCCTCTTCTAGCCAGTGAAGTCAGGAAGGGAATGATCATCATCATTCCTCCACTTTTTTCTCTTATTAAAAATTAATTAAACTGAATTCTAAGTAAATTGTCGTTTTTTCTTTTTGGTATTTATAGTCAGATAATTATAATATAATAGAAAAATATAATTTACAATTTAAAAGAAAATTCATTCAACTGCAATTCGTCTTTTGAACATTAAAAAAGTCTTAATGTCTTAATTTTAATCATTTAAGTTAATTTTTTTATTCTATTAAAATTTAAATTACACAACATAGCATAAACTCAATAATTTACAACATGAGATGAATCGTGAATGATGAAATTTTTAATAAACAAATGTCAAGAGATGGAAATTTATTCAACAGATGACAGAAATTTAAAAAAATATGTTGGCAGATATGCTGATCCATATGATTTAAACTCCAACATCAATGATGACTTTGAAACGATGTCCTCTACCTCAACTAACAACCCTTTAAATAACGAAGGAGCTTATCACAAACCGACAGCAAAAGTGTCCCCACTGTCCATCATAAACATGTACAGTTCATCTACTGAAGCTACCAATGATGACACCAAGTTTACTACTGCCCATAAGCTTTTTGATAGCAAGAATCTGGAAGGTAAGGAATCCAATGAAGATTATTTCAATTTAGACCCAGATGTAGACAATTTTCCCATAGTCCCCAAGCCGAGGAGTAGTCACAATTACTATGGAGCTTCCAACAACAACAACAGCGCTATGCAATATGAAACACCATGGGATCTTTCTTGTATCCAGATTAATTTAGAAGAAAGACTGCAAGGTCTTATGAAGTCACCTTGTTAGTTCTTATTTGTGGAATAATATTATATTCACTGATGCGCGTTATTCAGCTATATTTTACTTATAATTATCCTAATTAATATACTGTATTTATTAATAATTGAACAAAATGAATAAATTTGAAATTTTTCCCAGCCAATCACGACGCATCCCACTGTGACACTCTCCAAATGGACTCACCAACGTCAACAATAGCGCCAGCCATGCCATCGCTGGCCCAACAAAATGACCCCCGACCCCAAGATGGCTATGACAAACCATGGAACCTACGACCTGAGCACAAGGACGACAGAGGCGCTGAGGGCTACGACAAACCCTGGGACATGAAACCTCACAATAAAGATGAAAGGCCTTCCAGTGAATATGATGTACCTTGGGATAAAAATGCTCGAAAGATTGAACGAAATTTTAGAAATCTACAAAGAGAGTCGGCTAAATTTGATCAGGCGGACATTCGAAGAGGCGCAAACCTCCATAAAAGATGTAACAGCAACGTTGATCGCGACAGAAGAGATCAAACCAAATCTTCATCTCAAGTTCGTTCTCCTGTTGTCGAAAGTAACGACTTCTTTGTCGTCGCCGATTGTAAAAATAGTGATGGGCTGGAAAGAAATCTACAGTATCGCAGGAAGGAGAATCTAATGAACAGGAGCTGTATATCCAGTTATGAAAATGTCGACCTACTGCATAGAAACTACACCAAAGACTCAAATAATAACAGTGATAATAAGAATTTTAACCTCAATATTAACAATCAAAATGGAATTAATAATTACGATAATATTAATTTTAAACTATCTGCAAATAATCTTAATCAAAATTGTATTCCAATTAATTTACGTGCTGTACCTTCCAACAACAATAAGAGTAATAACAACAACAACAATAATAAAAATATTAATAACAACCACAGCAGTAACTTTTGTAGCAGTGTTATTAATGGCCGTTCACCTGAGGATGTCGTTCAAAACTTGAGTAATAAAAATAATGTTGCTAGTAAATCATCAGACAACAGCAACAACGGCAGACAAAGCATGGCTGTTGCAGATAAAATCGGCAACAACAACAACATGAGCAGCAAAAATAACAACATCAACAACAAAATGTCCGTCTCAATGATGGTTAGGTCTTCAAAACTCCTCGATACACGCTCCAATGAGGAATACGACGAGCCCTGGGACCAAAAGATCAAAAATATGATGCTAGCCCAGGCTAATAAGATGAAGGAAAAGGATATAATTAGTGGTCAGTGCTATGTTTTTGGGTATTTTTGCTCTTTTTGTTGAAATTATTTTCATTTTTTTGTTCATTTGCATAAGTTTTAATTTTAATTAAACTTTGGTGACGTTCAATTTATTAATCTCACAAAAACATTAACAATGTCATTGTTGTCATCATCATCAGCACCACCAGCCACAGCAGCAATGGTCGCATCATCAGCAGCAGCATCATCAGCAGCAGTAGCTGTGGTGCCAGCTCCAAGGAATAGAATCAGAAGGTCAAGCAAGTCTATTCCTTTTGATGTTAAAGCCAATCTTGAATCACAAAGGTAAGCTTCTTGTTGGTTATTTTATTTATGTTTATGTGGTGGTGTGTGTTATGCTATAGAATCCTTAGGAAAAATAAGATTTATTTAGAATTAGATTATAAAATTCGCAAAAATGATCAACAACAGCTGGTACCACGGGTTGATTAGTCGTACCCAGGCTGAAGACATACTGAGGCCGCACAAAGAGGGAAGTTACCTGGTTAGGACAAGCGAGAGCAATCATGCTGATTACTCTCTGTCTGTTAAGTTAGTCAAAGTTTAGTTGAATTTTGTAGTTTTTCAACATTTGCATATATAAATATATATTGGCATGAAATCTTATGGATGTCTACGATGATAAATAATTCTACCTAGGAGTACGAAAGGTTTCATCCATATGAGAATTGTACATCGGAGAGAGGACGGTGGCCAGTACATACTCGGCCAGTTCAGCCAACCCTTTCTGTCCATTCCCCAAATGGTCTACCACTACACGGTCAACAAGCTGCCTATAAAAGGGGCCGAGCATATTTCACTAACGTACCCTATAGCCCAAGAACTTTTGTAAAAAAAAATTTTTTTCTTAGAAATGTCTGTGTTTTTTTAGTTTTTACTGTTGTTTATACGAATTTGAATGGATGTAGTTGTTTTTTATTTACGTTTCTTTGTTGTCGATGTTGATGTTTTTTGTTAGTTTTTAAAAATTTTAAATTAAAAAATGAATATAAGTTGTTGTTTCAATGGTGTTCATATTTTTTATTTATATTATCTATGAATAAAAAAATTCTTCTGTTTTGTTAAAAATTATTTAATTCTAACAATGCCAATTGTTATTAACGTTGCTAATGACGATGCAACTAACAATTTGTTATTATGGTTGAGTCTTTGTTTAATTGAGTAACTATTTAAGCAATCAATCAGTCAATCAATCAATCAGTCAGTCAGTCAATCACGGAACTAGTTAATTGAAGTCGCTGAATTTCTCTTACCTGTCTGTTAATAGCTTAAGTAAATAACTATTTATTTTTTTAACCTTTAACCTTTATTCATTCATTTATAATTATGACAGTAATATGATGTAATTATGGTGATGACGTCATTTTTACTCTGCAATTAGTATTATTTTGAATACAATTTTTTTATTTTTTTCAATTTCATTCTTATTCAGTGTCAAACTGGTTACTAATATAGAAACTGCATTTTTTGTTTGTTTATTTGTATTGCTTTTTATTTCAAATTTGGAAACGTAACAACATATATAGTTATAATAATGATAGTGTAACTATAATAATAATATTATTAATATTATTTATTTATTTCAGTTGTTCATATTATTGATGTATGAATAGTTTTCTTTTGTCTTTCGTGTCTTTACTTTTATAAAATAATTTAAAATAACAGCTAAATTTATCTTCTTTAATAAACAAAAATTACTGAATTTTCAATTTAATTAAATGTATTTATCTTAATATGGACAATTATTTTCAATTTGTTGGAAATTTATTTTTAGAACCACCACCATTTTTTTTGTTAGTCATTTAAAAAATTTTTTATTTATTTTATTTGTTTAAAAACTATGTATGTATTGTGTGTGTGTGTGTGGTGCGCTTGCGTGCGTGTGTGTGTATGTTTGTTTGAGTGTGTATCAGTGGTATATGATAGCATTTTACATGTTCCTATTGTTCTCCGTTACCATATTTAATAGTCAAGATTAAAGTGGAATTTCGTTTAATAAGGTGTTTGTAAAGAAACCATGAGAAACGTGTTTAACTGACTGTTAAAATTAGTTCGTATAACTGTTTTACGACCGTCTTACCCAAACAAACTTAACGAAAAAATTGTAATATGAAAGTATGAGTTAATTTTTTATTTTTGTCTTTATTTTTATTAATCACTATATACAACGAAAACTATTAGCACACACTTTTATTCATTATCTTTGATTTTTGTACGTAAAATTTTCCATCATCCATATCAGATTTTATGTTAAAAGGACGAAGTTTATTCGATTTTATTCATATAAATCAATTTTAATATAGATTAGGGATTGTATAAATAGATAAATGATTTGGTGAAATGGTAGTGTGTGTGTGTGTGTGTGTGTGTGTGTGTGTGTGTGTGTGTGTGTGTGTGTGTGTGTGTGTGTGTGTGTGTGTGTGTGTGTGGTGCTAGTCCGCGTTTGTTACAATCGTACATGAACGAATGACGCTGTGTTAATTGTTACATATATATATATATTAATATGTTGTTTGTTACTGAGATGTTGTTTTTTGTATGTTATTTTCACAGTGAAGGAATTTACTTTATTAAGTAAGCTATTTTTGTAGCTTTGCAATGTAATATAACTTTCAATTGAGTTTTGGGATCGGTCGGAGAAAATTATAATTTATTCCACAGCGGTCGGTCCAAAAGTACAAAAACATACGCTACGCTAATTTTAAAAAATTTTAAAATTAATAAAATTTTATTTAAGAATTGAAAATTTTTATTTCGGGTTTAAAAATTAAAAAAAGCGTATTTTAATTTAATCTTCAGTGTTAAACAACATTTTAAAAAAAGTTCTATATTCCACCACAAACTAACTCAACTCTTCTGAACATAAGAATCGGTAAAATGGCGAGTGTTTAAGATCATACTTTTAGGGATCATTTCTATAGTATGCATCGCCTGGACGTCAGTCAATACTGACATAACACCTTAAACCAGGATGACGAGTGGTAGCACCTACTCCTGAGCGTGAGACAGACGGTCGTCCCTGTGGTTCCCTCTTCGGAGGAGGCAGGGGGCGACCTAACCGATGATCGTTCTTGTCCGGCCTAGTGTCGGACTTGAGGGAGTTGGTGCATGCTGACTGGTTCCTTTATAACAAGAAAATAAATTATAATTCTTTTCTATGACGTCATCCATTTACGTCGTTGTGTATGCGTGTGTTGATTGCGTAATATTGTCTGCGTGTTGGTATTGATGTCGTATTTTTAGGTACTGTATGTACGTGCGTGCGTGTATAATGTACAATTATGTGCGTACAGATGTCTGCACGGATGTTGGAATTGATATACAAAATGCGTATTGTGTATTATTGTATATTAGAGATGGGATACAATGGTATCGCGTATACATATATGTAACTTGTAGTGGTGAGATTGATTGCCATCCGTCCTACATATTTATCTGTATTGCGTAATGTGAACATTTGAGTTTTATTACTGATTGTGCTGGGTGGGTAGTTCGTGTGCTTTCTGAAAATTATTTTGGTTATTTTTGAATTTAGTTTGAATTTTGGGTTTTTGTTTTAAACAAATAAATAGATAGATAGATAGATAAATGGAATGTACAAGATGTCCTCTGAGGCATGCATCTCTATTGAAAACAATTCTATCATAAGCAAACTTGTATGAATGAACGAAGAAATGAAAAAATAAAAAGAATTTTCAGACTATATTTTTCATACAATACATTACGGTGAATAAATATATAAACAACTGAACCGTCAAAGAACTAAATAGAAAGAGTGATAGTGTAGAAACTATTTTGTTTGCTAAATTTGATGTATTTGTATAAATATACAATAATTACGTATGTATATAATAATTTCACGTCAATGAATGGCAATATTCAGTTTATGCAGCAAATAATGGTTTAACATCATAATGTAAATAAGGTAAAATTAGACATGAGATATGTTGTATGTATATTTCAAGCAATTTATCATAGAGGAAAACATAATGAGTTTAGTAAAATATCAAAAAATATCAGAATTTCGAGAGTTTAAATCGTGAACGTGTAAACAATACTGAAATGTATATGTGTGTGTGTGTGTGTGTGTGTGAGTGTGTGTGTGTGTATGTGTATGTATGTATGTATGTATATGTGTGTGTATATGAGAATGTATGCGTGTGTGTATGTAGGTCTGTAGTCTGTAACGTTTATGCTATTTGTATGTTTGTCCAATTGAGTAAAAATTAAAATTATTGCAAGTATAATACTATGATTTTAATCGGTAAATAACACGGCAAATTAACAAACGAATGAATGAACGAATAAAACAATGAATGAATGAGTGACTGAATGAATGAATGAATGACTGAATGAATGAGTGAATGAACGAATGAAAAACTGACGTAATGAAAAATTAGACATTGATTCAAAAAAAGTAAAAAAGTGATCAAATATAAAGCTTTCTTTGATCAAAGCACTAAAATAAGAATAGTACTGCGATATACAATATAATTTAGGTATAAAAACTACACTAAGCATTAAACACACACACACGCACACACACACACACACACAATCATGGTTGATTCATTTCCAACATCATCACTAACAAAATAGTTACATTAATTATACTAAAGCAACGCCAGAATCAAACTTGTTTTATATGTATATTCTGCAAGTGCGGCACAAGGCAAAGCTGTTACACACACCACACACACGCACACACACACTCACACACACGCACACACAATCATGGTGTTTTAAATATTTATAAATTGAATCATTTTAAAGGCTTATGATCCAGCTAAAATATGCTAACCGTGAAATAATTAATATTAAGTGCTAGAAATAAATACGAGAATGAATGAATGATTGAATGAATGAATGAATAAATGAATGAATGAATAAATGAATGACTGAATAAATGAATGAATGAATAAATGAATGACTGAATAACTGAATGAATGAGTGAATAAAATGAACAGATTAATACAAATTATGAACGTCTATAAACAACAGATCACATTCCAAAATCATGTGAAGATCATTGAAGGCTATTTGACACAGAATAATAATAATAATAAAATCTTAATAAAACATAAGCAACTATAATAATAATAATAATAATATAATTTTATTATTATTTCATTCATTTTGATTTAATTGAGAAAAATATAAATAGCGTGCAAAAATACATTTATCTTTCTATCATAAAAATACCAATTATAAATGCAAACTAATATAATATAATATGAGTAATAATAATAATAATATTATTATTATTATAACATAACAATATATTATAAATTAATAAATATGACGTAATTAAAGCTAAAAAATGATGAACACCACTCAATCTAGAGCATGCTGGAAACCTTCATTCTCCTTTAGATCACCGACATGGCGGGCCGGCTTTCCGGTTGGCTCCCCGTGCCCTTCACCATCAGCACCGACGACGACCACCTTCTTGATGATGTTATTCATCTTCTCAGAAACTTTCGTCTTGATGTCATCGATTTCTCCCTTCGACAGGACCTCACCACCCGACCCCTTGGCTCTCTTTAGTTCAGTTTCTAGGACAAGTTCGTGTGTGAGGATGGTTTCCTGACGCATCTGCTGGTGCAGTTTGTAGGGCACGTCCGGGATGATGTAGGCTATCAGACCGACCAGTAAGACGATAAGGTTCTAGATGGGGTGGAAAAAACCTTTACTTTTTGCTAGCTAAAACAACACAAAATAAACAACAACACGCGCAAGATTCACAACAAAAACTCAACAAAACACACCACCACCAACAACAACGACGACACCGACGACGACGACGAACCTCAAAAATCAAAACGAATATGAACTGGGCGGCCACCATATTCCAATGCTGCGCTGAGTACTTATACTTTCTGCTAGACCAGGGTGGCTCTCTGTAGTCTTGATAGCGGCAGAATACTGTGCCGTTGTATCTGTGCGTGTGTGCGTGTGTGTCGTTCGGTGCGTGTCGTTCGTTCATTCATTCATTCATTCATTCATTCATTCATTCATTCATTCATTCACTCACTCACTCACTCACTCACTTACTCACTCATTCATTCACTCATTCATTCATCCATACATTCATTCATCCATCCATTCATCCATTCAATCCAAGAAACCTTGGCTTGATGAGAACTTCAAGCGGGGCGACATTCTCAGGCATGTCGGAAACATTAAAGAAGGACAAACTATTGTTGACAAACCCGTCCAGAGAGCCACTTGTGCTGTACACATGTGTGTACAACTGTCGCTGTATGAAGCTGGAGGTGAAGGCTATTATCAAGGCCTGTGTTTGTGTGTGTGTACGTGTGTGTGTGTGTGTGTACGTGCGTGTGTGTGTGTACGTGCGTGTATGTGTGTGTACGTGTGGGTGTGTAATTGTGTTTGTGTACGACTGTGTATGCTTATGTGTAAATGAATTTTACATTCGGATGTTTGAATGTTTTTAAAGTCTACCAATCATATCCATCTACACAGCAAAAGATGAGCTGAAGAAATGTTTAAAGAAGAAAGAAAGAAAAGTAATTCGTCCATCCAGTGAGGAGACACAGGTTAGTCAGACGCACTGGCACGCCATCTTCACTAACGTTCGTCAGTATGGAGAACTTGGAGAGGCCGTAGAGGATATCGTACCAGATGCCTTTGTTGGGGGTCCATCAGGATATGTATCATTATATCATCCATCAATATGTATCACGTTATAATAACATTGAATAATACGTCATTTCACTAGCCAAACAACAAACAACCAACCAACTATTTAACCAACAACAGCCAGCCATCCAACAAATTATAAAACAATTTGCCGACCAGCCGACCGACCATTCAAAAACAACCAGCTAACCAACTAATCAATTAAAAGCAAGCCATTCAGCCAACCAATCTATTAATGAAGAGCCAGCCAGCCAACCAACAGACCGACCAGCAAATCAAAAACCAGCCAGCCGACCAGCAAATCAAAAACCAGCCAGCCAGCCAGCCAGCCAACCGACCAATAGTAGCAGTCCTGATGGGCACATCCCTCCTCAACTGAGTGACGAACTTGTTGGCATCTGACCTCAGCTCGATGATGTTGTTGATGAGTGCGAAGAATGGAGCAAGTGGGAATGCAGCCACGAACAACGTTACAAAGCCAAACTGAATCACTGTGCGAGCGTGCGTGTGTGTGTGTGCGTGTGTGTGTGTGTGTCTGTGTGAGTTTTGTATCAAAAGTGAATGTGTATGTGTTTGTTTGTTTGTAAATGTAAATTTGTCGTAAAAAACACACAAGCAACTCTAACTAGCAACAACATAAAACAAAACAACAAAACACTAAACAAACAACATAGTAGCACAATCAACAGCTACAAAACACACACACAAACAACACACACACACAAACAAACCACACACACACACACACACACACACAACAACAACAACAACAACACACATAAGACCAACAACAACAACAAACTCATTTCGAGGTATTCATTGAAGAGACCCATGGAGCCAACATCTTCCAGTGCATAATCCTTCTCCCATGGTTTGTAGTGCTTCATTAGTTGGCGCTCCTCTCGTGATGTACACAGCTTCTTCTTCAGCCATCTTTTTATGCGACTGAGTGAATGAATGAGTGAGTAAATGAGTGAGTGAAAGACTGAGTGAATGAATGAATGAATGAATGAGTGAATAAATGAGTGAATGAATGAATGAGTGAATGAATGAATGAGTGGATGAAAGAGTGGATGAAAGAGTGGATGAATGAGTGGATGAAAACAATGAGCATATAAACAAACAAACAAACGCGAACAAACGCAAACAAACACACAAACAAACAAACAATTACACAAACAAACAAACACACAAACACATACGGTAGATAGATCTCGATGAGAGTATTCTGAATGAGCTGCTTACCGACAAAGATGATAGCCAGCTGTATGCAGAGCTCCGTTAAACAACTGCCTTGACACTGAGGTCAGATGTGAAAACAATACAACACGCACACACACAAAACACATACACACACAAACAAAATACACACAGACACACACACAAACACATACACACAAACACAAACACACATACACACAAAACACAAATAAATAAAAGCACCACAAAAAACCAACACACACACACACACATATTCTCAAAAAACAAACATACATAAATAAAAATCCACTAGACAGATACGCACAAATGCACACACACACAAACAAACAAACACAAACACACAAACAAACAAACACACACACACACCTCTTCTTGTCTCTGCGAGCCACTGTAGACTGTCAGGTAATTTTCTTGGCTTCCTAGCCTAGAGTCGTCATATTTAAAAAAATAAATATATCATTATTATTATAATAATAATTATTATTATTTTCATCATCACCATCATCTTCATTCTCATCATTACCATCATCAACGTCATCCTCACCATTAACATCATCATCATCTTCAACCTCACAATCACCATCATCCTCTTCATCCTCGCCATCATCATCAGCGTCATCTTCATCACCACAGCACCACAACCACCACAGCACCACCAACGACCTACCTGCCCTTGATGAAGGCAATGTAGAAGAGAGACGAGTAGTAGTTGACGAATTGAAGAACGTACAACTTGAAGGTCAGGCTGTTGTCGTACTCGGACTGGGTTCGAAAGCACTCCCACTCCGTTAGCAGGATCGCCAGTTTCGTGTAGAACTGACGATGACGACAATAAGGAATGATGATGATGATGATGTTAATAAGAAATGATGATGATGACGACGATGACGTTAATAATAAATGATGATGATGATGATGACGTTAATAAGAAATGATGATGACGATGATGCAAAAATAAATATATATCAATATTATTATCTTTATGATTATTAATATTATTAATTAGATGATAATTAAAAACGTTGTAATCGAGTATCATGTAGACGGTAATGATGATGATAGTGATGATACTGACGATGATGATGATGATGATAGTGATGATACTGATGATGATAGTGATGATACTGATGATGATGATAGTGATGATACTGATGATGATGGTGATGACACTGATGATATTGATGATGATACTGACCCTAACCACACAGCCAAGCAAACAAGACCAAAGTTACTAACAAAATTGAGTATAAAGATGACGACCAGGTTGATACAGGCAGCCGTGATCGACACTACAATGGCTGCATTCTGATAGAGTAGCTCGTCGTTCATCATGTAGATGCTGGTTATGATTGAAATTCTGTAGAACACAATCGCTACCACGCAGGCTATCGCGACGGCCACCTGTTTGTGTGTGCGCGCACGTGTGGTGTGTGCGTGCGTGTATGTGTGCGTGTACGTGTGTGTGTGCGTGTGTGTGTGTACGTGTGTGTATATGAATGTCTTGTGAAAAGTTGCTATTATTATTTTGCCTTCTGAGTCGTTGATGCAATGTTAATTTGTGTCGTTAAAATCAATAACAAACATTAACAAAGCCATATAGCAGAAGCAAATTTCATGGAGTAAACATCAACAGCAGCAGCAGCAAGCAGCAGTAGTAGCAACAACAACACAACGCCACCACCAACGACAACGACAACCAACCAGAAAGAGGACAGCAGAGAATGAGGCGCAATGAACTGGAATCTGCCTTCTCCAAAAAGGAAAATACGGCTCCTCCTTCTGAAATGTCAATCAAACACAACCCCCCCGAAGTCATCATCATCATCATCATCATTTCCGATATCGTCGTCGTCATCATCATCGACATCCTCTTCATCATCATTATTTATTATTACGTAGGACAGGGCGATAGTATAACGGTAAAGTGCCTGGCACTGCTGTTGCAGTGACTGGATTCGATTGTAAAGAAATCCCCGCCTATCACATACAATGTTTGTGTGCGTGTGATGCGTCGTTTCACGTGTGTGTTCACACACACTCTTGTGTTTGTTTGTTTGTTGTTGTTGATGCCTTTGAAGATTATTGAAGAGAAAATTGTAATAAATAAATAAATAAATTAATTAATTGAATGAATGAATAAATGAGTAAATGAATGAACAAATAGATAAATGAATGAATAAATGAATGAATAAATAAATGAATGAACGAACAAATGTAATAAACCTTAGTCGTTTTATTGTATTTCACGTATTTGGATTTGGCCTTTCTTGTGAAATATTCTGGCCTTGGAGGTTCCTAACAATAAATATAATAATAATAATAATAATAATAATAATAATAACAATAATAATAATAACAACAGACTTCTTCCTCCTCGAAATTCCTCAAGTCCCAGAGGAACTGTATCCCTGCTTGCTCCCTTTTCCACATCTCCAAGTAGATCGTTGCTGGTTATCATTATTATTATTATTATTATTAGTAGTAGTAATAGTAATAGTAGTAGTAGTGGTGGTATTGTCAAACAAACATACAGATCAAACGTCAAGCCAAACACACACACATTATACAAAACATACAAAAACAAACATTCATAAATACAACAAATTAAAACACAAAAAAAAATACGAACACATGGTCAGACAGACAAACAAACAGACGATCAGACAGACAGACGATCAGACAGACAGACAGACAAACGACCAAACCCCAAAACGACATAAAGATAGCAAAGAAGACGGTAGCTCCGTTATCGAAGAGATGCATAGCCCTGATACTGGAGCATATCTGATCCAGTGACCAATAGGCGCATAACTTGTTGCACAGTGGACACATCGTGAAGTTGTTGCGTTCGTCGCAGCTTTCCTTACTGTTCGTTCGTTTGTTTGTTTGTTCGTTCGTTTGTGTTCGTTCGTTTGTTAGTTTGTGTGTTTGTCTGTGGTTATACGCTTGCTTGTCTTCGTTTGTAAATCAATATATTCTCTACTGCGCTATTTCTTTATTGTTCCATGCTGCTTTTCAAAATGAAAAATCATGCAGCATGCGTTGGCAGGCAATTTATTCAGTAAACGCTAGCCTATCAGAATATACCTGCTTGTTTGTCTGTCTGTTTGTTTGTCTGTGAATGTTTGTTTGTACGTTTGCATTAATGTTTGTTGGTTTGCTTGGTGGCAATTTTTTTGCATTCGAACGAGATCTGATTAGCAAGCTGTAGAGTATTTCGAACTTCAACCACCAAGCCGTCATCCTCGCCATCAATATCATCATCACCGCTACCATCATCATCAACATTATTATCATCATCATCATCATCATCACCGCTACCATCATCATCATCATCCTCATCGTCAACAGAACTGACCTGACAACATCATCACCCATGGAGAAGATGCCGTAGACGAAGACGATGAATCCAACGAAGGAAGGAAAGATGAGGAAGTAGGTGTAGTAGCCGAGCCAGGCAAAGTAGAGACCGATCTTCTCGCCGAAGTAAGTCCTATGTCGTTCATTCATTCATTCATTCATTCATTCATTCATTCATTCATTCATTCATTCATTCATTCATTCATTCATTCATTCATTCATTCATTTATTCATTCAATCAATCATTCATTTGTAACTACTACATCTCCATGTACATCATCTTCATCATCAATCACGTCATTAAACCACCATCATCACCAACATCATCATCATCACCTTCATCACCATCATCATCATTCTCATCACCATCGTCATCATCGTGACCTAATATAATTAAGGGGTTGAACTTTGTACCATGACCTCCAGTTGGCCCAATTATCATAGAGGAGTTTGCGCATGCTCATTCGAGAATTCTCCTTCCAGGAACCCTTTTTATTTTTATTATTAATGTTTATTATTATTATTTGTTGTTGCTATTATTATTACAAATAATTAATAATAATAATAACAAAAAGAAAAACCTCGTGCAATGGATAGGCTGCATTGTATACTGAATCGGCCAGCAGTCGCTTTATACCTTAGTTATAATTTAAGAAAACCATAATTAATCAAATAACAATAATTATTTATTATCAATAATTATTATAATAATAGTGAATGAACGAATGAATGAATGAATGAATGGATGGATAGACGTCTGAACGAATGAATGAATGAATGGATGAATGAATGAACGAACAAACGAACGAACAAACGAACGAACAAACGAACGAACGAACGAATGAATGAACGAACGAATGAATGAATGAATAGGTGTGTGAACGAATGAATGAATGAATAAATAAATGAATGAATGTGTGAATGAATCAGTAACGACCAGCTCCAGCCCAACAAAGTCAACACTGCTACCAAATAAATCAACGAACAACACTAATATTACCAACAACAGCAACAACAACAGCATCAAAAAAAATACACAAAACCCAACTAACCATACTCGGTTTTAAGGCCCAGAGGCTTAAAGTACTCTTTCCTCCTTAGAACGTAATCCGTTATTCTACTGCGAGTTGCATGGGAGAATAGAAAGTACAACTTCCGATTCAACTTATTATCGTTACTGACGTCCGGCAGATCCGTCGCGTTTATTATATTCTCATCTGGAACCGTTAAATTATCTATGTTTATGATGACGTCATTGTCGTCGTTGTTGTTATTGTTGTTGTTGTTATTGTTGCTGACGTGGGGATCGCCGCTGCCACTGCCGACACTGAGTTGCTTTTGGAGAAAATTAGGATTCGTAATGTCGGCGTAATCACAGCCATCGTCGCCACAGAATCTGTTTCGTTCGTTCATTTTTTGTTCGTTTTCAATATTTATTGCCTTTATCTTTAATATAGTGTAAACTTGAGAGGTGAAAGTCAAAGAAATACCAGCAAGACCATCAACAACAAACAACCACCTCCAACAACCAGAGTGTTGCAGTCGGTTGGGGTCGGAATGTTTTGAGAGTCCGAACGAGTTGAATTAATTATTTTTTATGTTTTAAAACATAAAAATGAAGAAATTTTACTATATAAAAAAAACAGTTATATTGACTGATTTTAAGCGTTTGTTTAAAATATTTTCCATTTAGTAGTGATAATAAGGTGAAATTGTGATGCAAAAGTTGGAAAACTTTTCTGGAACTCAAAACGCTGAGTGGTAGTGAGATAATTTTCATCCAACTGCAAAACACTGCCAACAACAACAACAAGCCAACTACAAATAAAAGACCAAAGAAAACTAACAAATAAGTTTTAGTAGAATCATAAGGATAGGTGAACTTTTTTTTAATCTTTGGTACTCTTAAGGGGTCCAGTTGGAATGGCTGCAGGACTTTGAGGACCGCATCGTCCATCATGTCCCACATCTCCCTATTACTGGTCACTTCCGCTTCCTTCAAGTAAGTATGTACGTGTGTATAAGTGTATGTGTGTGCGTGTGTACGTCTATGTATATGCGTGTGTGTTTTCTTGTGTGTGTCTGTGCATTCATATTCATCATAATCCCACATAAACAGGTAAGTATCTATGTGTTTGTTTGTTTGTTTGTCTGCATGTTTGTTTCTGACGGTTTGTGTGTGTTTCTCTTTATAGATGTGTAAAAAGTATGTCTGTATATCTGTGTGTGTGTGTGTGAGTGTGTGTGTGTGGTGTGTGTGTGTGTGTTCGACAATGGGTGTGGTTTTTTTTATAATCACTGTTTACTGTTGGCCTATTTGCATGCAAGAATGTGAAAACATTGATATTGAAAGATAATTTGTCTAAACAATTAGAACTAAATAAAATTATGACGAAATATTAATTATGATAACGATAATAATAATCATAATAAAAATAATAATAATAACAATAATAATAATAACTATAATAATAATAATTACGGTGACGATAATAATAATATTAATATTTATTATTATTATTATTTTTGAATTCTGACCTCTTCAATGGGCATTCTGATCTTCAAGATGCCAGCATACCTGGTGAGGAGTTCGAGCGGAGCGTGGACCATGGTGCACTGTAGGTGTCGCCCTTCCTGGTTGTTCCCGGATGTGGATGATGATTGGATACTTTTAATTTACTCATAAGTCAATGATCAGTCTAGCAATTCGTCTATCGATTGATAGATTGAGCAATCACTCAGTTGGTAAGCCGGTTGGTCAGTCGGTTGGTTGGTCAGTTAGTCATTCAACCAGCCAGTCAGCCAATCAACCAGCCATTCAGCTAGTGGGTAAGATCATCATTATTACCGACGTAACCACAATCACCAACGCCGTCGTCATCATCACTTAATTACGATCATCATCACCATTATCACCAGCATCGTCATCAAAACCTGTATATCCCATTCCAGTTGGAGACCTTCCTTGACTAGGTTCCTCTCAAAACTTTCTCTGATCTCTTTCTTCGATTCGTATTTTTTGTCCGTCGGTTTTGTCTCCCAAATTAGTACAAAGTCAATCCGCTTATTGCCATTTCTAAAAGTCAACTGACTGCCCTGTGTAGTTAGTAGTTGTAGCAGTACTAGCAGCAGCAGTGGTAGTTGTAGTAGTAGTAGTAGTAGTAGTAGTAGTAGTAGTAGCAGTAGCAGCAGTAATAGTAGTAATGGTAACAGTTGTAAAATCAATGTTATTAAATTAACAGCAAAACATATAATTTTCTTGTTCAAAATTCACCAGTCAATTTTTAAAATGTCTGTTTAAGCCGACTGCCTGGCAGGGCATATTTTCAATTCAATGTTTTATAAAAATTGTATTATTATTATTTTATTAATACTTTTATCATTAATATTATTTTGTTATTATTCATAATTGTTATCACTGTTAGTTTAGTGTTTTTAATTATTATTATTTTATTAATACTTTTATCATTAATATTATTTTGTTATTATTCATAATTGTTATCACTGTTAGTTTAGTATTTTTAATTATTATTATTATAAATATTTCGCCAGACAGTTTTTGAAAAATTAATATTCAACATTCATCATTTAGCACTACAACAGCAAAAGCAGTAATTATAATAATAATAATGATAATAATAATAATAATAATAACAATAACAATAATAATAATAGCAACAACAACAACAATAACAATAATAATAATAACAACAACAATAATAATGATAAAACACCAACAATAACAACAACAACATAAAAAAACTAATAGAAAAATAATTAATTTAGTACTCTACCTTTTCCAAGTCTTCCACGTCTCCAGTGTATTTGTTAACTATGGGAATTCCTTCCTGGATATGATGAAAAAGTATAACTGATCAATCAATCAGTCAGCTGGTCAGTCAGTCAGTCAACCAGCCAACTAACCAACCAACTGACCAACCAACTAACCAATTAATGAATCAATCAACATCCCAATAAACTAATCAATCAAATGTGTACTAACATTTTTCTTAAATTCCCAGCTTGGATCCAGAGCAGCAAACTCTTTGAGTGGTGATACTTCTAAAATAAAAAAAAATATTTAACTAAAAAAATAATTGTAATCACAAATAAATAAATTAATTTAATATTATGTGTGTGTGTGTGTTTGTCTGTATGTGTATTTCATAAGTTTTGTATGTTACTATCATAACATGGCCTCACATAAAATTCAATCAATCTATTGCTATTCAATGTTCAATCACAAACATCAACAAACCCATCATTAATTAAATTAAAAAAGATTAAAAATTAAACTAAATTAATTAAAAAAGTAGTAACAAACCTAGTTTGTCTGTAGAATCAACATTTTCACTAGAACCTTATATAAATTAATTTAAATTTTACAATAAATAAAAATAAAAAAAAAAATAAAAAAAAAATTTTAAAATATCCAACCACTGAGACAATCATTAAACAGATGGGCCATACAATAAATTACTACACAGAATGTATTTTTTAATTAATTAAATATTTGAAGATTAAATAGAATTAATCATCGGATAATCTTAAATGATAAAGAGTTTCGTTTCAATTTAATGTTAATCAATTTTTGGGAACGGTTTTTTAATTTTTAAAGTGCCTAGTGAAACTTTTTAAAATTAGATAATACAAATTTATAGGAACAACAAACATAAAACTGTGGAAAGCCAAAACCAAAATTATCAGGATTAATTCTTTGCTCTTATTATCAATGTATTATAAGTGCACCGTTTTTATGCTCATATATAAAGCGGATTATGCTAGAAGAAGAATCTGGTTTGGTGGAGGTCGATGGTCGCCAATGTCCTGATTGACTGTCCTGAAAAACACAAGACACATAAGATACAAGAAAAAAAAATTTTAAATACACACATATAATATAAAAGCTATGTATATGTGTGTGGTAAGAAAATACATACAAATTAAAAATTTTTTTATCAAATAAAAGGTCTATTGCAGGGGTGGGCAAACTTTTTGCAGTGAGGGCCGCATTGAAAACTATTTTACCTTTGAAGGGCCGCATATGTACTTAAATAGCAAATTTTCTCGACTCATGAGAAATTTTTTAAGATTTGTGGCTCCTTTTTTGGTTCATAATGTCAGGCTGGCGACCATTTTTTTGGCGACAAGACCTCGGGGGTTGCATAAAATAGCTTCGCAGGCTGTAGTTTGCCTACCCATGGTCCATTTCACACTTCATATGTCCAAAGAAACTAGTACGTGAATTCGTGCAAAACGAAGCATGTGACGAAAAGTAGGAAAGCCCTTTTGTCGTATTCAAATCCGGGTACGGCAAGCACCGCGAAACAACACCAGGCAACCTTAACCACTAGGCCGTAACGCCGCCGCCGAAAAAAAAAAAACAAAACTATTTTTCTGAAATTTATTACCGAAAACTTTTAAACAAATGACAGTATTTTCTCTCAAACAATGAGTTTTTATCCATATTTAATAATTTTCTTTTAATTTCTTAAAAATATACGAAAAATAGGTAACTCTTTAAACAAAAAACAAGGCCTTGTAAAAAATTTATTACAATTTACTTTAGTTAGTTTCCTATTTAATTTTACAACTCATACATGTACTAACATTAATGAGTTTATGTGTATGTATATACACACATATACACATATGAAATTATTGATAAAAATCACAGTATGTTCCGCGTTAATAAGCTTCCTGTATAGATTTTGGGAAAACCGAACTATAATTAAATTGGACAGACAAGAAAACTAAATACTAAAAACACACAGACATACAACATATTTAATCTGTTTCTCTCTTTTTTTTTCGATTTTGGTTTATGATCTACCGTTAGATAAATTAAAAAGCTAAATAAGAAGTAACTAACGCGGAACATGCTGTGATTTTCACCTATAATTGCATTTCTGACAGTCTTAATATATATATATATATATATATATATATATATATATATATATATATATATATTTTTAAGAATATACATATATGTATATATACATATAAAAATTTAATGGAATTTAATTGACCTGGTTCTATAACATAGTATAAACTAAAAGACTACAATAAATATATATATGTACAGTACACACACACACACACACATATATATATATATGTGTGTGTGTGGTGTTTGGGGGAGTGAGTTATTATCTGACAGTACATTTGATCAAAAATGAAGGTGTATATAAGCTGGCTTACAAACTAAAATTTAAACTAACAAACTAATCAATTTTAAACTATTGCTATTTTATTTACATAAAAAAATAAAGACCATAGATATGAAATAAAAAACACATGAAAATGAATCAAAACTAAGTAAACCATTTATTTTTCTTCAAGCTTTTTCCCTATTTAATAACAAATTAAATTATAATAAAAGATTGATATAGAAATAATAAATAAAAATAGTATTGAAGCTTGCATTTAAAAATATAATATATATATCATTAAAGTTATGACAAACAACTTTATGAATTGAAAAAAGCAAGTTTCTGTGAAACCAAACTATAATTAAATTGGATAGACAAGAAAACTAAGTACTAAAAAATACAGAGAGAAACGACATATTTAATCTCTCTCTCTCTCTCTCTCTCTCTCCCTCTCTCCTTCTATATATATATATATAAATATATTCATCAATAATTGCATATATATATATATTATTGTATGAATTCTACCGATATGTTGGTATTAATCCATTTAAAGTTTGTCTTTTCAATTTTCCTTACTAGAATTTACTGGAAATTGTCCAATTTATTGAAAGTTATCCAAGTTCATTATGAAAATTTAATGAAACTGTTGTTATCCAAATTAACCATGCAGATAGGCTGTATTTCGATTACATAAATACACACATATAATCATACCAATACATAAAGTAAGCAACATGTATGAAAAATATATAGGCATATGTACTGAATATTTAGCTGTACACATACATAATAAAGTGTGCACGTACGCACGCACACACACACACACACACACACACACACATACACAAACACACACTTAGTTACACATACATATGGGACACAAACAAACGAACTAACCAACAAACAAATAAACAGAAAACATATACATGTTTTCTGTATATTTATACATTTATACATAAAAAAAATATTCACATATTCTAAAAAAAAATACAAAATAAAAATAAGCCTATTTTTATTCATCCTATGTTCACTTTGCATTTTCCGTAATTCAAACATTTTGCCTATGAAAATAAAAGGTTGACAAAAAAAACTGTTTGTAACACCACACACACACACCACACATACACACAAACACCACACTTACACGCACACGGACACACATATACATAGTATTAAATATAATATAGTGATGACCACTACAAACACACGCATGTATATACATGCACGTTTACATGTTTTCATTAAGTGATTAATAAACATACTATCTGGAATATCTCGATACATATATATATATATATATATATATATATATATATATATAAAACATATAATATTGATAAAAATTTATACGTATACACACACGTATAGAAGTATACATACATACATACAAACAAACAAACAAACGAATACGCAAGTAAATTTATGTATTAATTTGGTATACATACGTACACACATACATACAAACACACATAGGGATATACATACATACACATTCAATACAAAACAATCTTTTAAATGTAAGGAGATGAAAAAAAAGTATGAAAATATAAATTGAAAAATTTATAAAAATAAAACTAAAATGAAAGATTCCATACAAAAACAAACAAACAAACAAAAAATTAAAACAAAGAAAAAATAAAAACAAAAAAGAATTATTTTTCCATTTAAAATATAATAGCATTGAATTTGAATAAAGGTTCGAAATTTCTAAAAATAACTCAGGCAGGAATTCCCAAAGGCTCAAAAGGCTTAGGTACAAACAAATTACTATTAACTTTAGTAACATTACTAATACTACCACTAATATTACTACTACTACCACTGCTCTTAATGTTACTACTACTACTACTACTACTACTACTACTACTACTACTACTACTACTACTACTACTACTACTACTACTACTACTACTACTACTACTGTTTGAATGAATATTTACTCTATTTGCTAATTCATGAATAGTGTTTGGTACTATATTATTGAAGTTAGTGTTTAAAGTAATGGCAGTATTCATAGAACTGTGAGTAATATTACTACTAGGCAGTGACCAAAAAAGCAAATTGTTATTTGTAGATAAATTCTCTTTGCAGCTGCAACTCTGTGAGTTCTTAACAAGTGATGATTTACTTTCGCATGTAGTACTACTACCACTACTACTACTACTACCACAGCTGCTACTACTATTATTGCTAGTAGTAGAACAACAAGTATTGTTACTACTGTAGCTGCTACTGCAACTATCAACGCGATTGCTAGCAGTGCTTGAAGTGGTTGAGAACGTCTTTAAAGTGTTCAACGAATTGGAGCGCTTAATCTGGACGTAAGTATGTATGACGTCATTACCGATTTTATTATTATTACTATTGTTACAGTTATTGATATTATTATTTTCATTGTTGTTGTTGTTGTGAGCGCCATCATTCGCGAGTGATTCGCCCAATTGAAATTTCATTACATTGGAAAAATTTAGTTCGTTTGTGCCTGGGATATTGTTGAAGTTGCTGACGCCATTACTGCTGCTGCAGCTACTGCCGACCTCGTCTAATCCTCTCCCTCCTTCCAGTCCTAATCTAGATTTTTTTACCGGTTCGTGTTCGGTGGGCGATGAGATGGAGAATTGCCTGAGCCAGGAGTGTTCTAGGCACTGTTCAACGGTCATCCTGTCTCTGTTAGCGTTTTTTTCTTTGTTTATTTGATAGTGAAATATAAACATATCCGAAACAAATATGCAAACTCTCGCATACGAACTCACACACGCGCGATTGCACGCACTCACAAACACACACACACACACACAGTTCATGTTTTAATTACATTACCCTATCTCTTGATTACTTACTGTTATTACACACTCAAAAGGCTGGCTAAGTAAAAGCAACTGATAATAAAATCATTTAACAGCTCCGGTTATAATTGGGCTCTCAAAATAAACATAAATATAACATAGCAAGTAGTGAGAATCAGTTAAATTGTGCGTGAATGTGTTTCTGTGTCTTTGTATGTTTGTATTTGTGTGTATGTTTGTGTCCACGTACACGTCTGTATAAGCGTATTTAAATGTGTAAATCTGTATAAACTTGTTAGCTAACCAGAATGGCTCCTAGATTTAAATGTATGTATGCGTAAGTGTGTGTGTTGATGTTTATTCCTTATTCATAAGAATAAAATTAAAACAATTAGCTTCACCGAATTCAAACCCGGACACCGCGACACAGAAGCAGGCACTCTTAACCATTACACTAGCCCAACATTAATAATAATTAGTAATTACTAACTCTGGTTCTTTGACAAGAAGTCTCTTTATGAAATCAACTGCCGACGATGATATGCCGGAAAATAGATAATCCGGAAACTCGAGATTGACTTGTGATATGTTCAGGAATGTTTCCTGGTTCGTATTCCCAGCAAACGGGGAACATCCGGAGAGCATTACGTAAGATAGCACTCCAACGCTCCTGATCATGATGACGATGTGATGATGACGACGTAATGGTGATAGCATAACGTGTGACGACGACGATGATCACTTAGTGTTAAACGTGGTGGAAATAACAAAAATCACACAGTATACACACAAATATACAACTAACCACATATCACATGTGGCGTTCAACTTTTGGTAGTCCAATATCTCTGGGGCTGTGAAATGTAAGTGGAATATAAAAAAAATTAATTTTAATTTAAATATTTATAAATTTATTGCGTGTACATGTGTGCGTGCTCGTGCGTGCGTGCGGGCGCGTGTGTGTGGTGTGTGTGTGTGGGCGTTAGTTTATAGTTCTAAAAATAAATTACTTTGATGTTATTCAAAAATAAGCTGAAAAAAGAGACTTGATAATAATAACGAAATTAATAACAATAATATGCTAATAATAAGGAAATAAGAATGATTATTAAAACAATAAAACGACAACAATAATAATAACAATTACTACAAATAATAATAATAATAAATTCACCACCAACATAACCACCATAACAATAATAATTATCGTGTACATCAAACGCATCATTACTAACTTCCTTTCCATAATAATACCAGAACTATCTATCTATCATTTCACCCATCCATCTATCTAATCATTCATTTATTCCTCCATTTATCTCTCTATCAACACTTAGTGATTTTTTCATTCATTCCTTCATTCATTCATCTGATCAGTGAACAACAAAGTATGCAAAGCCACGAACAAATACCCACACGCACATAAGTACAAACACACACATCCAACCATATATAAATCTTTATAAAGAATTTATTAAATTAAATTTATAAATGATATATCAAATATATATTATGTTACACAGTAAAACAAATATATATATATATATACATTCATATATATATATATATATATATATATACACTTATTTATTTATATTTATAGGTAATTTATAATTATTTTAAAAAAATATTTATTTGTTAATTTATTATATGTGTCTACATTTAATCAAATCAAAAAAAAAATTGAGAAAGGTATGCAACACAGCACAACACAACACAACAAAACACAACAAAAAGCTATCCAGTAAGACACCACACTACGTACCAACGTAATCAGGTGTTCCGATGATTTCAAAGAGATCTTCGTGGCCGTTAAAGTTTCTGGCAAGGCCAAGGTCACACAATTTGATGTCGCTATTGCAGAGGTGGTTGGTCGTTAGCAGGATGTTCTGCGGCTGTTTGTCATTGGTTGATCGGTCAATTGATTGGTCGATTGATTGGTCGATTGATTGATTGATTGATTGATCGATCGATTGATTGATTGATTGGTCGATCGATTGATTGATTGACTGACAAATTGTTAACTGATTGATCGGTTGAGTGATTAATTAGGTAGTTGATCGATTGAATAATTGGTCGATTGAATGATTGATTGACTAATCCATTCATACATAAACTCGCATCTCTAAAATACATAACTAAAAATATACATACATACTTGGTATATTAATGCATACAAAAGCATACAGCTCATAATACCATATATACACAAATCGCAAATACACACAATTTTATCTGGGTCTGAGAATTTACCTTCATAATTAACAATAGGATTATTTTACACAGTATCAAATATTGGAAGAGATACACACACTCATACATACACATCCATATACTCACATATGAACGCGCGCGCACACACACACACACACACACCACACACACGAACACAAACACACAAACAGAGAGAGAGAGAGAGAGAGAAGGTATATATGCAGAAACATACAACTAGGAAAAATAATATGAGAAACCTCTCACTCAATTAATCATTTGTAAATTCAAATGTAAATATAAATACAAACCACGCACGCACGCACACCACACAATCAAATACACATGGAAATACTCTAAGTACATACATACATAATTCAATTCAATTCAAAAATAGCTTTATTCAGCAAAATAACAACAGTTTTTCGCTAGGAGACCCGAAGTATCAACTTGTAGGGCCACCTATACACAATAGAAAAGGATTATGGATAGTAATAAACATAAACATGAAACTAATTCTATTATAAACAAAATATAAAAATAATAGATGATGAGAAAGGAATTCTTTTAACTATACACTAATAATAATAATAAAACATTCTCGAGTAATATGAAAATTAAGACAATAAAACTAAATGGTCGAGTTGCTATATTAAAAATTAATCAAGAAAAGTAATTTGAACGAATTTGTTAATTATAGTTTTATAAGAACATAGAGTCAATGAATTCTTAGCATATATTGGCAGTAAATCCCAAAGATGTATTGATAAAGAAAGTACTGAATTTATATAAAAATTTGACCTGGGTTTAGAAAAATAAAAATCAGAATTATATCTCAAGGATCGAGTATTATGGTTTTTAAATATGATAATTTGCTTATGAAGTAACGGACAAAAATTAAGTTTATATAATTTAAAAAAGAAAATTAAAGAATAAACATACATACATACATACAAACAAACATACATACATACAAGCAGTAAAAATAGAACAATATGAACCGTTTCATTTAAAAAAGAAATAAATAAAATACATCACTTCATCAAAAAACTTAAGCTAGATTGAAGCTACACAAGAAGCACCTTGAGCCAATTCTAACCCCTGCCAACACACACATCTAACCTTTTGATAGTGAAACTTCTTAGAATTTCAAATGTCGACAAACACTTCATACATATACAATCTCATGCTCGCCTGCCTACATCTCTGAGATGATATCTACAATATCATTGAGTGCTAATACAGCACTTTGTTTCTGAGCTCATAGATACTATAAATAACTCTGTCCTTGATGATAACGAACATAATAATGATAACGAAATAGACACAACGAGACGATGACGAATTATCATTAAATATTTTACTCACATATGGAAGCTTGCCAACAATACGCACAACAGCACAACAATATATCTAGTTAAGTATAAATACAAATACTTACAGGCTGAAAACAAAATAAACTAAAAAGAATTAAACATACACTCTCACACACACACTCACACAAAAACACTTACACACATACATATAGAAACACACACAAACACACATACACATACAGATACCTACACACATACATATAGAAACACACAAACACACACATACACACACATACATTCACAAATAAATACGACACAAACACAACTGCCAACACAGTCTTCACAGTGAGGGATCAATGATGTCTTATAATTAACACAACAATTTAAAAAAAAACTCCAGCCAAATGAACTGTTTAATGGAAATAAACTTGAAAAATAAACAAAAAAAATCAACAATAACAACAACGACATCAACAATAATAAAATTAACAACATCGACGACAACAAAAACAACAACGTCAAAATGACAAAAACAAAAACACTGGCATGGAAGGCAAGTCTACTCAATTTCAAATTTTATCAAATTAAAGACAACATAATCTATTGTATAGTATGTATACAACACTTCATATATGCGTTTCGTGTGCATAAGAGTCTTGCAATTATTTCAAAAATTCTTTCATCATGTGGCTAGATTAGCAGCTCTTAAACAATTAATTCAAGTGATTAGCTAAATACAAAAAAAAACCACTCTCACACTACTTACAAATACTCTGACGCATACACACGCACAAACACAAAAAGCGATCACACACACGCATATTCACACGTGCGTGCGTACTATATATAATATTTAAATCTATTTATATTGTTCCTTATTTTTCACGTGCCATTTGTTGTTAGCTACTGTTTACTTTACATTTTTATGTTAAAAAATGTTGTTCTCCTTTGAACATTAAGATGTTGTCTACCACTTTCATCTTTCTGTTCATTCATCATTCGTTTGTTCATCCATTCGTTCTTTTGTTCATTCATTCGTTTGTTCATTCATTCGTTTGTTCATCATTCATTCATACATTTCTTTCATTCATTCATTTATCCACCCATTTAATCATTTCATCAATCAATCATTTATTTATTTATTAACTATATTTTTTAATTAACCATTCATTCATTGATTCACTCATTGGTTCACTCGCTCACTCACTCATTCACTCATTCTTTCATTCATTCATATGATTTATCCAGGGCATATATAAATTAAAATGGACAGCACGACAATAAACAACAACAGAGATGAAACAAAAATGATATCTAATGAAAATACCATAAATAAGTAAATATGTAAATACCAACACAATATTTTAATTTAATATTTATTATTTGCATATTTATTTATTTATTTGTTCATTCATTCATCTATCCATCCATCTATCCATCCATTAATTCGTTCATTAATTCGTTCATTCATTCGTTCATTCATTCAATCATTCTTTTATTCAATTATCCATTTCTTTATTATATATATTTATTTATATATTATTAGTTATTTAGTTATAAAAAATTATTTGTCGATTTAATTACAGATGTCATTCAGGTAGTTGTTTTGTTGTTATTGATAAGGAATAAAATTCTTTAAATACTTTCATGTCAACACACTCAAAACTCAAGACACTCAAGAGACAGAGACAAACACTCACTCACACACACAAACACACACATAGAGAAAGAGAGAGAAAGAGAAGGAGAGAGAGAGAGAGAAAATCGCAGCATGATAGATTTAAGTGACTGATGTCTTGTATATATATCTTGTAAGTAATGTATGTAATGTTATTGATATTAATGTCACCTGAATCATAAGGTAGCAAGCACTAATAAACAACAACAACAATTATAATAATAACAATAATAATAAAACTAATAATAACGATAATAATAATTATTATTATTATTATAAAAAGCAGTACAAATTAAAGCAACAAAAGCCTGGATAAGTGCATATATTCCAATAACATTAGTAGTAGTAGTAGTAGTAGTAGTAGTAGTAGTAGTAGTAGTAGTAGTAGTAGTAGTAGTAGTAGTAGTAGTAGTAGTAGTAATATTAATAGTTAATAGTAGTAAGTAGTAGTAGTAAAATTATACTAGAAATAATTCAGTGGAAGAAATAAAAAAATTACTACACTCCTGCCAGCTAGCTAATTAGCAATGAATTACTACAAAGTAATAAAAATAAGAGGAGAATAGATAGAAAAAGGTATTTGATTTATATATTATGGGTGTGACACCAAGTGAGAAATAATAATAATAATAATAACAACAATAATAATAATTCAAATAATAATTATTAATAATAGGAATAACAATAACAAATAGACATGGCAATAAAACCCGAAATCCATGCATCTATAAATTCAAAACTTAAAAAAAAAACTTGACAAAAATATCAAAGCACAACTATCCATCATCATTATTTTCCTCATCACCATCATTATTAATACAACATTAGCACAGTCATTACGACCACCATCATCTTCGTCGTCATCACCAACATTGTCATCATCCTGAAACTCATCTTTATCATCTACATCACACATTTACCATTCTTATTCCAGTTATCATCATCACATCAGATTATAATCATATGCATGCTTTGTACACTCACATACATACTGTGTATGTGTGTACGTGAATGTGTGCATATACGTATGTATGTGTGGGGTTAGTTTTTTTCTTTTTTATCAATTCACAAATCTTCAAATCTGCCTACACCCAAATTGTTGATAAGAAAATTTATTATTGTATGTGCCCGTTAGTATGTATGTTTATGCATGTATGTATGTGTTGTCTGTTTGTATGCATGTATGTTTGTATGTATGTAGGTGGGTATGTCTGCGCATTAATTTTGTTTGCAAATAAAATGCTTTTCATGATTTCAAAATAAAATAACAAGTAGGTTTCCTCTCACAGGCTCAGGCAGGCATTTTATATTTCATCAAATAGATCTTTTTTCTTTCATGTCATCATCGTCGTCGTCGTCATCATCATCTTCTTCACTACCATCAGCTCTACATCGTCGTCGTAATTATCACTACTACCATCTACAACCGACTAATCAATCAGTGAATCAACCAATGAGCCAACCAACCAACCAAATCACCAGCAAATAAACCAGCCAACTAATGAACCATTCAACCAACCAGCAGACAAAAACAAACCAGCCAATCAAACAATCAACTAACAAACCAATCATTCAACCAACAGAAAATCAAACAGACAAGCAACCAAACAAGCAACCAAACAAGCAAACCTTGATATCGAGGTGTGCTATGTTGTGTGAATGTAGAAACTGCACTCCTAGTAAGACCTGCCTCATAATCTTCACTGTAACTTCTTCATCAATCTTGGTGTCTGCTGCTATGTGCTGGTACAGTTCTCCACCTCTAACTCTGTGGAGATTTTTAGAGAATTATAATGAATAATAAAAATAATAATTATAACAATAATTATTAAATATTTTTTTATAGCTATTATTATTAAATCATTCAATCAATCAACCAATCATTTAATAAATCATAAAAACAAAAA